AAGGTTTTGAAAGGCGATGACTAAGGTGGGCCGTTCGGTATTCGGTCTATGAGGACCAGAACACGCCCAAGAATGGGAGGCTCTCATTGTCATCAATATGAATGAAAAGCACCAACGATTCCACCGCTAGGGGTCAAATGCCCCGATTTAGGGCCGGTGGTGAAAGCGCGGGAACAGACTACCTCGTGCTTGCTGAGGCAGAGCGAAAGTGCGTACGTAAACAGTCAAGCACGTTGACTGGAAGTATTTTGCACACTGGTCTTAAAGAGCATACTCACTCATTCCTCGCTATTTGTGTGAGTACAAGGTAAAAGAAAGCAGGCTGCATAGAAATGTAGTTCGAGGACACTATTTTCACGGGACTGTATTAATATGACCTGGCCTCGAACGAGACGTTATGTGCTCATGTTGTATGTGATCATTATAAAACTTTTAATCGATATACGGTAGGTCTCAAGCATCGACAGCTCCGTAGACAAATGAAAAAGAAATTGATGGCAATTGACAATGAACATCTGTTGAAGACACCAAATATCGATGACTGGTCATGATTTTCATACACTCATAGGCCCTCCCTCCCCCTTCTTCTCCTCCTCACTTCCACTGAACAAAGGCTGGCATGCACCTTCGGAATACTGACTTCTGATCTGTAATCCACAAGACAGAGTTACTTCTTCCCACGAAAAACCCCGCCCTATCCCATTTCTCTACCTCTCGCTCCCCGTAGTCCCATAGCTACGCCCCGTATCCCGCGTATCCGTTCTCTCCAGGCCGCTCATATCTCCGACCTGAGCAGCCAACATAGCAGCGGACCCAGCCGAAGACCCGGCAGTAGCGGCAGGACCTGTAGTCTTTTTTGGCTTCCTAAAGCACGCAAACTCGCTCTTGCTCGCCTCCCTCAAGCGCTTCAAGACAGCCCGCATCTCAGGCAACTCAGCCTGCAGCCGCGTCCTCGCATCATTGTCCGTCCGGCTATCCAGCTCCTGGTACACGGCACTTTGGAGCTCCGAGGCGCGGTCGGTGGTGTAGTGGTTGAGCGTCTGGGCGACAAACTCGACGTCAAGCGTGGCCTGCATGAGCATGCCCAGGTCGTAGCGGGCGCGGGTCTTGAACGCCTCAAGTAGCTCGCGCGACGTTTGCTCGAGTAAGAAAGAGAGCACTTGGCTGGTTAAGGAGGCGGCCGTTGTGGAAACCTGCGTGTGCACGAGCACGAGGTCGAGCAGGGCTTCGTAGATGTAGGGCTTCACCTCGCGTGGCTTCTGGCCCGAGGGGGGAGGCCAGTCAGAGGCGGTCACGCCGGCGCGGATGATGCGACGTAAGGACTCGATCGAGGGGCGGGTGTAGGATTGGAAGAGGCGGGCGTCGATCTGACCGAGGACGTCCCGGATGGTCTTGGTTTCGTCAGTGAGCTTGACGGAGAAGGCGTTCTCGAATTGGGTGTTGAGGTTCGGGACAACTTCGGAGCGGAGAGCTTGGAGGTTACTGAGGGTGAGAAGCATGCGGACATTCTAGGGATGGTCGTTAGCAATCTGTGCCGAGGATGGAGTATCAAGTAGGAAATTGGAACCGCTTACACTATCGCCGGCGTCAATGGTGGCGCCCCCGATTGTTGATACCCGCAGCCTAGAGGGGTTATTGACAAGAACAAAATCATTGGCATCCGTCGTCCAGTCATCGTCAGGCTTCTTGATGGGTAGCTCTGCGTTTTCTACCATGCCATGGAGGGCTTTGTAGAGCGTGGTGACATACTGACTCCGCACCATTTGTAGCAGTTTCGTCGCAGGCGGTAGGACAATATCCTCGGCCCCGGGCTTAGTCATGGCTTCGGAAACATATAGGATCTTTTGCATTCCGCTTAGCAAAGCCCTCTCAAATGCGGCAAAGCTGGCGGGCATCTTTGTCACATCCTTCCGGGTCGGTGACCTGTTCCAGTCCTCCACATATTTGATGTTCTCGGAATCTCTGTTCCATGCGGCGCAAAGAGCAGTTACACATCTCTCCCTGGTTGCGTTCACGAGACTTCTCAGTTGCTCCAACTCTGAAGGGTCACCCTTGCCGACCGGGGCAAGAGAGGCCATATCAGAAGCACCAGATCCGACGAGAGTGAGCATTTTTGCGAGGTAGTGGGCTCCACTGATTGAGTTGGACCACGGTGGCCAGAACGCAAACTTCTCCCAGGCTTCTCCTCGCTTCGGTGATGGGGGCGGAAGGTTATTCGGGTCGAGATTTATAGGAACTCGTAGGGTAGTGGCCTGAATGGCTGACCCTGGTGTTGTGGATGGGCTCGGTGTGTTCGGTGTTGACGGTAGAGGAGACACAAGCGCAGAGAGGTCTTCCGGTGGAGGGCCGGTAAAGAAGGACAGAACATGCTCCCTGATCATGTCAACCAGCTCGACCGTGGCCCTCTGCAGTTCCTGGGAGCTCTGCTGGGTGAGTCTATGATGTCCCTGCGATTCCCCCTTGTAACCAAGAGGGAGAGTTCTCTGAGTATTGCCGTCCATGAAGCCTTGTACTGTTTGCCAGAATTCAACGACTTCACCCATAATGCCCTGAGGCGACATGAGGTTGTTCATGAAAGCCACTATCGTCTCCCAAACATCCAGAACCTCGGCCGAGTCAAAAGTTGGTGTTTTGCTTTCGATGGACTGCCTGCCGAGTCCTCTCAGATTTGACGCTATTGATTGAGAGCTAGGCTTCTCAACATTTGCTAGACGCCGTCGCAGCACTTCGATTTCGACCTTTGACTTCTCCGCTGTCGATTGAATTCTACTTTTCAGATACGCAACCCGGCTCTGTAACCATGCCCAGATGGGGTTCTCCTCAACACCTAATTCCAGGAGAAGCGTTATCAGGTCCATATGCTGATCATGCGCCTGTCCTGGTGTTGCGTCCGACTTGGCCATTGCCTGAGGGGACACGAGTCTTCGCCACACGTCTCTCTTGAACAACTGTATCTGCTCGTCGACATCATGCCACATTCGTGCTGCAAGGAGGATCTTGTACAGTTGTGCCTCAGTGGGTTCGCCTGACCCGATATTCTGGGCGATCTGCTTCGCTTCATCAGCGAATCGTCTGGCCCTGTTATACTCCTCAACCAAACTCTCGTGATCTTTCCGTTTGATACTCTCGGCCAATGCAGCACTGATCTCGACATAGTCTTTGTAGGTGTCAAGAGAGGATCCCACTGTCTTTAAGTGTTCCTCCTTCTCACGTCCGCCCAATGCGGGTCCCCAGAAATCCTCAGCCTTGGCAGAAACATCGAGCAAGGGAGCCTTTACGCCCATGACACCGTACTCACTCTCCCTGATCAGCGCATTCTTCTTTCGAGGGTCAATCGTCGGGCCCATGGAGTTTGCCAGACCACCAGCGGCACTGGTACTCTGAAAACTATTCCGACTAGCGTGCCTTGAGTGAGCCCTGGCACGGGGAGCTGCTGGCTCCGCCCCGCGATACTTCATCTCCTTGTAAACATTGTCGATTGTAGCCTTTGCCCTGACGAAACGTTCGAAATTTGACTCGACGAGAACCTTGAGGGATGCCGACTTTTGGTCGATCGACTGGTTCAACACTTCCAATCCGTTGAGTAACGCTTCGGTACTGTCAGTCGCATGGACCTGAGATAGAAAAAGCGCCGGGGAAAATGTCGTCGATGAAAGCAGAAATCGATTTCCTAGATCAAACCAATTGTGTGTCAATGATGAAGTCCCCGTTTGGGCCATCGGCTGCTGCCCTCGCTATGCGCAGCGATCGGAAGGTTAAACTCACGGAGCTTTGAGTCATCTTGCAACGGAACTCCCATCTGCTTCAACGTCCGTACCACACTGTCGGTGGTACCCAAGGGGTCGGGTTCGTCCCTCTGAACCAGATTACCAACACCACTGGCCGAAGTCTCGGAACCGGGCACCACGCTACTCCTGTTGCTCACAACCCGCTCCAGCGCCTGGAACCTTGACTTCCTCCTGTTGGCCTTTTGCTTCGCCGTTTCATCGTCGGAAACATCACTGTTGTTGTCCTTCTCGGCCGGCCACTCGACTAGGTTGAGAGAGGAGACTTGATAAAAGTCAAGAATGGTCCGCTCTGTGTCGGCCGCCATGGTGTCCTCCTAGCTCTGACAGAAGTCCCGTCGATCCTCGGCGTTGGAAAGTCGGGCTCGCTATCCTCGCTGTTACCGTATCCGTAATTCGAAATGAATGCGCCCGTCTTACGGCCCAGTTGTGTCCATGCAATTCGAGTATCGTAATTAAACCGTTATGGCGTGTGTCGAAACTTAATCGTGACGGTTTGGTGTCGCTTCTTTCCCGCGTCCTCGGTCAGTCACCCTGACACCAGCGTGGTTGATGGGGGCACTTGGCAGTCCAGGGGTTCAGTGGAGCATTTGCGGGGGTGAGTGCTGTCCAGTCGCGTGTTTAAGAGGGCGCTCGCGAAGGGTAGGTCTTAAGCTATGGTGCTTGTGCTCACCTGTAACGCGGGCGGTCAGCAGCAAGGGAACTGCCCCTGGGATTGGTACACTAGACTAGTACCTACCTTCGCTACGGTCTTTGGCAGATGAACCTCGAATGTAGGTACGTATTCGCGGCACTCCAAGGCAGGCGCAGGCACATGATGTAAGGCCACAGGAACGGACAGAAAGGAGGCTGCACAGAAGGCTTCCGTCGCGTCCGGTACAGTACGTATCCTAGAGCATCATCTTTAATTACTTCCCGTTCTTGCAGGGCATGCGGGATGCTCGGGCGCGACTGATAAAGTAGCACGGATATTACACTCCATCATACGTAGCGGTATGTACACTACCTTCCATAGGTACCTAGGTAGGTAGGCTCGGTAGGGACACCCAGCTGGAGGGACAGTGGAAGATGCTACCTCTAGCAGTTTAGCACTGATTAGCAGCGGATTACTAGCTTCGGGGACGGCCCGGCGATTGTGAAGGAGATACGAAAGTCCGGCTAGCTTCCGGGTATGGGTGGGGTTGAGAAGACGTCAGGTTCGCCTTACGGCCAGGAGTGGAAGCAGCGAAGAAGTGGCAGACGGCGGAAGACAGCAGCTAGACGGGCCAAGCCTTGCATTGACTGGCGCATCCCGGCTGCGCACGGTCCAGACGAATGGGCCCAAAAACTTGTACTGGTGAACGTGGTGGGCTGGCACGCTGGTTGGCTGTGGCTTTGTTTTGCGGGAAGACCTCCATCACTTTTTACCTCATCTACGGACTTTTCCCTGATCCTGATAATTCTCTGTACCCGTCCGCACCACTTACACTCCTTTCTTCCGTACACATCAGGGTTCTCCGGGAAGAGGTGTCATCCGCAAACCACCTCCAAAATGCTCGCCCTTAGATCAATTGCCGCTCCTGCGCAGCGCCAGGCCTTCCGCGCCGCTCCTCGCGCCGTGTCGGTTTCCTTCCAGGTATGGTGGTAACTACCAAGCAACAGCAAGGGACGGAATATGGCGGTTCTCACTGCCCACTCCCCTGCCGTAACTGCAATTCTGTGGTTATGTTGTGTGAGACATTGAAGAACCCATCTAACTCTTATCTCTTGGTCTTACAGAACCGTTTCTACTCTTCCCGCGTTGCCCAGTTCACCGGCCAGAAGGATGCCAGCGTAAGCCATCCTGCCCCCCATTTCTCGATGGAAGAAAAACGAAGGCTTTGCGACAGCCCACGACGACGGGGTGTCGGGTTTGAAAACCACTCAGACCCGGTCGCGATATGCTACTGTTCCGGGTTACGGATAGACCGCTAAAGGTTTCAACAGGGCAAGTACACTGTCTCCTTGATCGAGGGTGATGGCATTGGTCCCGAGATCGCCGTTGCCGTCAAGGACATCTTCGCTGCCGCTCAGGTTTGTTCAACACCTCCGCCTGCCTGTCTATCATATGGGCATCGACGCGCGGTCTGCTGACACTTTAACTAGACGCCCATTAACTGGGAGCCTATCAACGTCGACCCCATCCTCAAGGATGGCAAGACCGCTATTCCTGATGCCGCCATTGAGAGCATCAGGCGCAACAAGATTGCCCTCAAGGGTCCCCTCGCCGTATGTTGGCCTCCTGGCTTCCGAATCGCAAATATGACAGCCTTACTGAACTCTGTCTAGACTCCCATTGGCAAGGGCCACGTTTCCCTCAACCTGACCCTCCGCAGGACCTTCAACCTTTTCGCCAACCTGCGCCCTTGCCGCTCCGTTGCCGGCTTCAAGACCCCCTACGACGGCGTTGACACCGTCCTTATCCGTGAAAACACCGAGGGCGAGTACTCTGGCATTGAGCACGTCGTTGTCGATGGTGTCGTCCAGTCCATCAAGCTCATCACCCGCGAGGCCTCCGAGCGTGTCCTCCGCTACGCTTTCGAGCAGGCCCGCGCTATCAACCGCAAGAAGGTCCGCGTTGTCCACAAGGCCACCATTATGAAGATGTCCGACGGCCTCTTCCTCAACACCGCCCGCGAGGTTGCCCAGGACTTCCCCGATATCGAGTTCGATGCCGAGCTTCTCGACAACACCTGCCTCAAGATGACCACCGACCCCACTCCCTACAACGACAAGGTTCTCGTCATGCCCAACCTTTACGGTGACATTCTCTCCGACATGTGCGCCGGTCTCATCGGTGGTCTCGGTCTCACCCCCTCCGGCAACATCGGTGATGAGTGCTCCATCTTCGAGGCCGTCCACGGCTCCGCCCCCGATATTGCTGGCAAGGGTCTTGCCAACCCCACCGCTCTCCTTCTCTCCTCCATGATGATGCTCCGTCACATGGGTCTCAACGAGTACGCCGACAAGATTGAGAAGGCTGCTTTCGACACCCTTGCTGAAGGCAAGGTTCTGACTGGTGATCTTGGTGGCAAGGCCTCCACCAAGGATTTCACTTCTGCTATTATCGACAGGCTATGATACCATAACTTTTCCTGTAATGCATTTTCTTGGCTAGTAGGGTTCCTGTAGTAGACTGTATCACAACGATCTATTCCCTTTGTTTATAACCCCAAATAACGGCGGTTCTTTTCGTTGAGAAAGTTGAATTTTACAAAGGCGTTGAAGGTACCCATCCTAATCCTTCGATGCCCTTTTAAATTACTCTGCGTTGCGTGCTTGGCAGACTAGTTTGGGTGCCAGATCTTTGGTCACTATACTTCCTCTCCTCTGCTTGCGCATACGTCACATGTATGTTTTCTAACCCTTAGACATGAACCACTTCTTGGGGGATCACATGCGACGAGGTGATCTGTTGTTCCCGGGACTTCTCGGTGGCCGTGACTTCAGTTGAAGTTAACGCAGAGGAAGGACTTCACGATCAGCTTCGGTCTATCTGGCCTGACGTGAAGCTGTTTGTGATGGTTGTAGTGGAGTTACTTTCACCAATGCTTGCCAAGGCTTGCAGAGATAGTTCAAGAGGCAGTTCTACCCCCTATCTTCCTCGAGCTTCAGTCGTGAAACCAAGCGGCCGGCAGAGATATTACATCAGCCATGTCACCTCTACGGGTACCTACATGTTGATGGTCGACAAGCTGCCAATGACTGAGTAACTGGCGGTGATGGCACAACCCCTTTTACCCCCACAGTGGGCTCAACTTCCCGTCCTTACCCACGGGTGATACTTTGGTCCAATGCAGGAGCCGAGACGGGAATTGGGCCATGTCAATCAACTCTCCCCCACCCTGTTCCGAGAACGACACTGAAGTCTTTTCCTATCATCCTTCCAGGTCGAGTAATCGGATACTGAACATCCCCAAGTTCTCTCATGTTTCGAACTTTCAATGTTTTATGAGAGTTTCCCTGCTCTTCATGAAAGACATCCAACACTGGTCCAGTTTCGATGAATATGCCCGATCTGAAACAAGTCCCTACTTTTTGGGAAACTGGTAGCGATATTGTTACCGATACCGGAGGACAGAGTCCCCAAGCATATGATAGAGATGACGGCACCGAGTCAGTCTAGGCTGTTCCATCAGCTTTCTAGTTCAACTTTTTCCCCTTCTAGCGCCTATGTGGGAAACCCCCTATCAATCAATGTGTTGTCGTTGTTCCTTAACGCTGTGGCCGCGATGTCCCGATGTGAGGCTCCTCCTTTCTGGGGGTGTTGTGGGGGGGCTCGATTGGTTCATCTCTTGGCTGTCGACGGACATATTTATCCTCACCAATTAAAGATCGCTGCGGATACCCTGTGCTTCCGTTTAGGGAAAGCGGTATGGAGTTATCATGACGTCGCTCCATCAAGACAGTTGGAAAACTGTCGATAACTGTGACCGGCTCTCTTCTAGGTTGGCAATATTAGGGTTACACACGGGCCTCCAGGCCAAAACTTTACCATCGACGGACTGGGACAGACTGTGCAAGATGAATGCTGCTACACACTAGTTTTATGACCCCAAAATGCCCACATTGAATTACTTGTACATATCCTTTTTATTCCCGTCCGTCACAGGTTCCAGCGATGGATGGAATAGGGGCTCGGCACCGAGGAGAGGCCGGCGCTTCTTTCCACCATGCAATCCGGAAGGTGCGGATATGACGGCAAACCATTTGAAGTTCACGAGGTAACCGCCACACTTCCTCAATATAGACGCGAAGAGCGCGATGCCCAAGGCCCATTGTCAACACATAGGTAGGTATATGGCGTAATATCAATCACCCAATCTCTCTCCGCTCCGCACATCCAAAAGTCCAACGTTTACTCTCATGTTGTTACGAAATACTTTTCAAAGTTGTGCCACCATCGATTGTCAGAACATATGGCACTTTGCGGTCAACTGCCTACAGTAACGATCCTCAGCCCAACTAATGTAAACCGGCAAGTCGGATAATCGGCAACATTTCGTCTCGTGGCGGCCGCACATCGCATCAGCGCATCACCGACGAACTTGTGTCTCAGAGGGGGTCTCAGAATTCCCGAGAGAATACTAGACATCTCTATGGAAACGGCTACGCAGTATACGCAAGTTACCAGTTGACATCTCGATAACGTTGGTTTCTAAGGGTGGCAACGACCGGGTAACCACACCCCTCCAGCGAACTCGAAGGTTGGCCGTCTAGGCGTAACAACCGAGTCCGGCGGGGCAGTGGAAAACTTCCAGAAAATAATGGAGGTTGCCCGGAACTACACATTGGATTTCGGTGAGGAATCGTGTTATCGTTTCAAGTGTACCTTACGCAGACCGCGAAATGCTTTGGTTTGACGCATAGTGATAGCTGGCGGGAACATCGGTGATTCTCATTTTGGATCGTTCGAGCGCTTGTGCATTTCTTCGCAACACCGAGTTTCTGGCTCACTGTCTCGCATCAGAACAAAGAACAAAGTGTTGGAAGTCATAGAAGCTGCAGAGTAAGCTCTGCGCCCAGACCAGCTCCAGTCGTCTGTCTCCCCAGACTGCACATTCGCAACCCCTGAGCCCCAGACCGTCTCCTCTTCGTCTGCCCCGATTCTCTACGATCTCTACTTACCGAACCCCGCTCATTGACAGCGTTGTACCCATTAACATCAGACCAAGATAAATCGCCAGTGTTTTCGAAAGAAGCCCGAGATTCCAGGAATAACCTATCTTCTCTAGGAATTCCAGAAAATCCCACGTACCGACTAGCCAGGGTCTGGTACTGTGGTGACTGATGAGCTGCCGACATGTGGGCGGGGTGGGAGGCCCGGTGTCCAACGCATGACGATTGGAGCATTGAACGGTAGAACGGGATTAACGCTCAAAAGAAGCCCCGAGGCATCGGTCTGGTTTCCATGCACAGGGACCTTGGGACTTTCGAGGCGATGGGCCCCCGCGAGATATGCACCATGTAGCGTAAGAATTGCTGGGGTACCAGGGGTTTTCTACACAGTAGGTATGCTCCGGCAAGCGCAGATGCAGGACGGCGTGGGTCCACGGCTTGCTAACAAATCGCTCATTGAACCATCCAATGTCCTTGTTTAGGGCCAGGTCCTCGCCCGTGATCCCCTCTTTTTCAGGTTCTGCTTTCTGCGGCTGTCTGCTAGCAAGAAGATGCGCCCTAAAGCAGGGCCCACAAGCCCCGAATGGTTCCATGTCCAGTGACACGGCCTGTGGGACACGGTTCAAACTTCAAACAGCTAAGGAGCCGCGGCGAGTTGTTCTCCGTGACCCTCCTAGCTCCAACTATATAAGTGCTTCCCCCTTCTTCCACCTCCCAACTCCATCTCAAGCCAGCTTCATCTTCCACTCTTCACAGCTTCCTTAAAGTTTTCGATCTTGCAAACTTTCATACTTGTCTTGTTGCCTGACGCTGTCACACCATCTCCATACACACACATCCAAGACTTTTCAAACTCTACATCCTCCTCCAAAACAATGTCTGGTTCGAAGGTTGCCGCCCCTGCCGCTCAGGATACTCGTATCAAGAGCATCCTTGAGCAGGGTGCCGTCAAGTTCGTCATCAAGACCAAGGACCAGAAGTGGCAGTGCACCCTTCTCGACCGTGCTACTCAGTAAGCCCCCCTTGACGATTCCTGGCAGCGCTCATGGAACTTGATGTTGACTGTCACCACAGCGAGAAGAAGAAGGCTCAGAAGGAGAGCTCTTCGGCTGCGTCTATCTCCGGCTCCGAGTCCGGTAGCTCCGCCTCGAGCAGCAAATCGCACTAAGCGCTTGCTGTCAACACCTTCTTTTTTTTAACTTCATACAATGATTGCGCAAGAGCCATGGAGGTCCCTTAACAACATTATGGGCTCTCTCACATGATCGTCGGTCAGCACATGTTTCTTTCCAGAGCACTTGGAGAGCGGCTTATGCAGTCGATCATGGAAGACTGAGAGCGGGCGAACGCGGCTTATCACCAGATGTCGTACGCACCATCCAACACATCGAACATGGAACTGCGGTCGGATATTCCATGTTTCCCGCGACACACGATGATTGCCCACCGGTATCTGCAAAAACACGTGTCTTTTGGCAGTCAAACACAGCATCTCTGGACTCTGTTTTTGCGCCGAGGATAAGGATCTCTCATGCTCGCCTATCTTCTGGCTTTTGTGCTTTCACATCTATCTGGCTTCATATTTGGGATGTTACAGCACTTTGGAGCGAACAAAAGGCGGTCCTTGGACATGGGTTGGCGTTATAAGTTTGTGGTTTTGGTTTTCATATGATACCTTTTTTTTTGTTTATTTCTTTTTCTCTGCACTGTACGTTACCTTCTTGGCAAGAGTGGGCAGAAATGAGATGGTATTTGGCATGAAGCATGGTCTCACGGTTTTGCAACCTGCAAGACAAATGTTATGACGCCTCCTTTGCGATACGACACGAAACAAGCCAAGCATTGGCTGTATACTTAACGTTCTTATGCTACACCAGAGATCTTTAGGGCTTTTCTTTTTCATCTTGCAGAACTTGCAAGCCATGTATGACATGGGACAAGGAAGCGGATCGACTTTGTCTTTCCGATGCCGAGCCTTCGCTATTGCACAACACATCGATATTACTGAAAAGCTGAACAACGTGTCCCAGTGCGTTACGCTCAGTTTAACACGTTAGAATTCAAGCCGAAGCAACAACACGAAAGCAGGTAGAGTTTCCGTGGATTTCACAAAAGCGGGGACTTTCTGGTGAGTGTTGATTGGTGAGTAGCTTAACAAACCTGCTGTGAATTTCGGGGGATGGATGTGATGGCGACTTGAGCGGATCTCAAGTGTGGTCTATCCGCTTGTTCCGACCACCCAAGTTATGCCATTTCACCATGCCGGTGCCGAACCCCCGACTATTCTACACTAGAGGCGTATCAGAAAGGGAAATCAAGTTGTGTGCGCGGTGAACTCGAGTTCCGATTTCCCGCTCCGGTTTTTGTCGGATCTTGATCTCCACCATCGAATTTGCGGTAGCAATGCTACGGATCCAGTCGAATGCATGGCGCTAGCTATTCGTCGGGGACCCATGGGAAATGGATCCTCATTGCATATGGTTTAATTAAAAGCTTATCTCATGGTCGGGACTCCGCTGTGATGATGTTAATGATTCAGGCAAGAAGAGTGGAATCACTATCACAACAGTAACTGTGAAGGTTGTCACTCCGGAAATCATGGACAAACCTAGAGGTACCAAGAAAAGAAACCGTATGGTGCAAAACACGAAACTGCTGGCAATTGTTACCTTGCCTCGCTCATGTCAGAATGATGCGCACCACGCGCATGCCACTACAGATTTTGATGATCAAAAACTTGGCCATTCTTTTACCAGAGAACTTGGTTCTTACACTACTGTGAACTTATGAGTGTCCAAGGCTTCTTCTATGACTACACGCTCTCTCAGGTTTCCGGGCAAGGGACCGTGAAGAGAAAGCATTTTCATCAACGTGACCAAAAGTGGTGATGTTCGCCAAGACTGCAGAAATAGTATAGACGGTAAAACAGGTTGTCGGTGCGCATACATAATTGACGTCCACGAGCTTGCTGTCAAACTTGGGATGAGACGTTCAACAAAACAAAACCCCTGAGTGCCGAGACTTCGGGTACGGTACACAAATATGCACCAGTTGCTTGGCTGCCGTAACGATTTGGGGTAACGATGGACGGCATAAAACGATGAGGCGCCATCCATGTCTGCTTGCATCGTTTGATCTTCTTTGCAGGTCTTGTCGACCCGTATCAGATGCTTTTCCTCCATCAGAGAGCTGATCGCCTTGACAGCCAGTCGTTCATTTTCGTGCCACCGCTTGGCCCTTGGCTTGTGTCACTGCCACTGCTTGGCTTCGTTGAAGATTGTCAAGAGCGCCGTTGCCCACGAGGTCTGTTTCTGTTTCGGTTAAGCTCTGCTCAACCTTATTTTCTCGCTGGGCCTCTGACCATAAGCAGATTAAAAAAAATCTTGAGGAGCCATGGCTCACTCCAGCGTTAAGGACATATACTGTCTTCGACGTACAGATCTTATCTTACCTGAAGTACACAGCAGAGGAGGCTTGGCAGTTTACATCAGAAGAGTGAGTCCACTGAGAGGGGTTATCATCACATGATAGCCATGTGCCTGGAGGGATCTCCAAAGGCCTAGTCTAACTGACAAACAGTTCTTGGCTGTGCTGACCGATGGGACGCTAGGAACGTAATGTACAAGCGTTCACTTTCGTCTCTGGCGATACAATTGTCCCCGCAAATCTGTAGAATTACACACCATTACTTTGGCATCCTCCTGGACTCCGTCCCTATGTGCATGCATCTATCCTTTGCTTCCCCTCCACCAGTCTTCTCAGCGCTGAACGTCACCAACAACGAACTATCTCGCTCCCTAGGTAGCACGTGGTTTCTCGGCGCTAAAGGGCCACAAGGCTCCGTCTATCGGATCCGGCGGTCGGCGTAGCATTCCATCTGGATTCTTAGAAACGCTTTTGGGCGATGAGACTGAACTGTAGCTTGATAATCTTATCCCGTCCTTTGGTTTGTGTACTTGTACAAAGTAAATTTGACTAGTGCGGACAATTTCTATGCAGTAGTGTACGTGGGAATTTGGGCCCGAAAATCCCGTGCGGCAACAATCAGCTGGTTAGGTAGGTAGAGAGGTAGTATGCGCGGGGTTTCACGTGTGGACCGCCCGCAAAACCACCGACCCTCCAACCGGACGTTTCAGCGGCCGGGCTCGTAGGTAAATATACACTATAGAACTATATACATAGCGAGCTTGCGAGGGCTGAAATCCTTGGGGATATTTTACTGGCAGTGAGAATGAGATTTCATATTTGATGCAGGATGGACCCCTGTGAATCGCACAGCTGGGTAGGTAGTTAGCCAAGACTTCTTTAGCTGTGCCAGAATTTCAAGTCGAAGAGGGAATCTCTATAAAAATGGTCTTCTCATCGTTCTAGAGATGAGGCTTCTTGATAATGGCGGGAAACGCGCCGGAGGGCTGTTGTTGATGGTTGGGCGGTTGGGTTGGACTTGAGACATTCCAGCACTGTAGCTCAAAGCCGCCTTCTATCCCTCCAGTCGGCACTTGATGCTGCGCTGTTCGTGAATCACTGGTTGGTTTCTGTGGGCCCGAGGCCCTTACTTGGAGAAAGATCCCACGGCCAAAATCAGGCCTTCGGTTAGAGACCGCCGCTCGTTGTGAGAGCGAAAGAATGCCTCAACTCATATCGAAACTCGAGGTGGACAGTCAGGTCAAGACGTGGTCCATATATGGATGGGGTCCGGGTTGCGGCAACATACCTCTAGGTAACACCGCCTGTCTCCAAACAATGCACTGCCCAGGGTGGACTTTTGACGATTGATGCCCGCTGCGCTGCGAACGGGGGCGGAGACGAGAGCCAGCCCTGCCCTGCCCTGGTCCCCCGCTAGAACAGAACAGGATTTCAAGGGCCAGACCGTGGGTTTCTGTATTCGATCATGATGATGACTGGACCTCAAACCCGCCGTCCAGTACCTTTCTGACTTTTCTTGATTCACCCGAGCCTTTTAACTTAACCAAGGCTTTCCCGCTATCGATCCTTCTCGTTCCTCTGCCGTCTTTCTTGTCATCCTAATCCACATCGATTCATCCGCCATCTACCGTGGCCACATCTGGAATTTGGAAGGGGCCCCCCAAGTTCTGACCCGACTTCAACATGCCGCTTCCTCTAGCGGGACAAGGTGAGATCCGTTACTTTCGTTCGCATGTCAACTCTTCGTTGCTGTTTACACCGACAACCTTGACACGCTCACGTGTTTGTAAGATGTCTATCCTTGTGCTCCGTTTCCTGTGCTCCCCCAGCTCCATTCACACCCTTGTCCACCCCCGCGAAAATGGGTGGGCATCGCTGGTGGTTGCATTACCTACACCTACAAACACCCGCTGTTACTCGCCTGTTTGATTCTAACCCATCAGCGCGGGACTCGGCGAGAGAGGGCCCCTGGTGGCAAAAGCACCCATTTGGCGGCCGCGCAAGCTTTGCACCCTCGTGCGTTGTCTAGATGCTGCCTGGGACTCCATTTCGAATCAGTGATTTGATCTTTACGCCTCTCTTCATGCCACTCATCGTCGGCTGCCTCCTGACAGTGCTGTGTCTTTTTTTTGTTTCTTTGCCTTTATTTAGCCTCCAAGAAACTCTCCTCCCGACTTGCCCCCAGCTCGTCGTTGAAGTTCATTATCCATCTTCTCCGCCGACCTGCGTAAACCGGGGGAGCTTGTTCAATCACGACCTTAGACCTATTGACTTCACTTTCTCCTCCTATCGATATCTCATCATTCTCTTGCAGCACCTTCTTCAAGCCCGTTCGTGGGCCAAACCACACACTATCGTTTGAAAGGATGCCGCCTATTAACCAAGCTGCTGCTATCGCCTCAGTTGGCATCATTGCTGTATCGGTAGCCGCCGTAGCCGCAATAGCCATCTACGAGTCTCCCGAGGTGCGACGCCGAGTCAACGACCTCCGCCAACGTATCGCCCTTGCCTTCCAAGGCTGGGATGACGAGTTTGACGATTCCCGACCCCGCAACCCCAACACCCCCCGCTTCAATCGTCCCGAAGATGCACACGGATTCTACCAGTCTCGTGCCGATGTTGGCGTTGACGCCGATGAGGAGACCAAGCGAAGGCAACGGGAGGAACTCATGTACTGGAACGCCAAGCGTGCAGAGATGATGGGGGAATCCGGCCGCGAATTTGCTGCTACTACTACTACACACCGACCAACATCCGCTACTACTCGCGGCTCGAGCTTTGATGATTTCCTTAGTGAGGACACGGCAGCCGGGCCTGGCACATTTGTTTACAACACGGGCACCGATGTCAGGGGTACTGAGAATGATGCGCTTAGGCGCCGTGGAGCAGGCCGTTCTGCCGCCCCCGGTGTCCGTGGATTGACTGCCGCCATGATTCTGGATCCCTTCAGTGACGAGTTTGGTATCGAGCTAGACGAACGTATCAACATGGTCGACGAGGAAACCCGCTTGATGGCTCCTAGCCAAGACGAGATGGTATCGAATAGGTCAGACATCTACAACGCCACTCCGACAGGTCTTCAATCGCCCGTTTCCCGTACCCTTTCGCCGGAGCCCAGAGTCTCAGTCACTGCTCCATCTAATGAGGTTTTGTTCGATTTCGAGACAAATTCACAGTCAGCAGTCGTCACTGCGTCGGAAGACAACCACGAGCGGTCCGGAGCCCCAACCCCTACCACGGTCCGCAGCACGACCGACACCCTCGAGCGCGACTTGGACGTGGATGAGTACATGACTGCTGGGCAGGATGATCGTTCTACGGCGTATGCTTCTATCCAGGAGTGGGCACAAGGCTCCTCCGGAAACCCCGGGTTTTACTCGCCATTGCCCGTCACCCCGACCGAGCCCATGTCTGAAGCCGAGATGGTTAGCGCAGGGCAGCTCACGCCTGCGGACACCATGTCCCTAGCGGACTCTGGAGAGCACATTGAAAACCCCGACGCGGTCTCTTCCAGGGCTCAAGATTTTGATGACTTGAGCGACAGCGATGATGGTATCGCCACTCCTGGCAGTTGGTCTGATGTTGGCAGTGTCATTAGCGAGACTGATGAAATTGCGCATCAGCCACAACACGCTTAGATCTATCCGACTTCTGTAGCGTAACAGGCGTAACAGACGTCACAAACCCTCTGCTATTCGGAAGTTCACCATTATGATCATTATCGGCATCTGGGCTTGGCGTTATACAGGTTATGGGTCCTATTTATGTATGGTATCTGGGCAATCCGTTGGATCGTTCTTTGATTTTGGGTAATGTTTGTTGGACTACAATTAAGTGCAAAGGGTATTTCAAATAAGCCCTCACGAACATCAAGAGCCTGCAAACTTTGAAAGACGTAGTACAATAGTATAAACATTTTGTTGTAGCTCAACATCACTTTTGATAGATGCAATACGCCGCATTTAAGACAGCCATATCCAATCAAAACACTCGTAGTTGAAATGGTTATGGGGTAATCGCCGGATGCATCGCTAGCTTGTAAATACATCGCTCTGTCCCAGCTCTCTCGCACTCGCCTGTCAGGTACTCCCCTTCGCATCATCATCATTTACACTCCCACAATACTCCCCCCACAACTCCTCCACCTCTTTCCCGAGAACACCTACCCAAAACTCTCTAGCTTCATACTCCCTCGTGCTCCTCAACGCCTCATTAAGGCGCCTTACCGTCCCCTCCCCAAAGCGGCCCTCAAGGTACTGCAAAAAGTACGCCGTGTGCTGGTACCCTTTATTCCACGGATCATCGATCTTCACGTCCCCCTGCTTCCAGTGAGGCGGGCTCAGGTCGCAGTTGAGCCGGACCCAGTCCGCGATACCCTCGATCAGTCCTCCCGGCGCGCTGCCGTGAGCGTCCCATTGGTAGCAGTGGACGAGCTCGTGCGTGAGGACGCCGGTGATTTCGGCAGGCAGGCGAGAGGGTGGCGTGGAGGGGATGTGGGCGGCGATGTAGGAGAGAGAGAAGTGGATTTCTTTGTGGTCGGGGTCGAGGTCGGTCTTTGTGTGGGTTTGGGTTTAGCTTCCAGTCACGGTCATAGTTATAATCGTCCTGTTGACTTCGGCCTGGTTGGGGGAGAAACAAAAAAATCAAAAAGAGAAGAAGGTTGAACCTAACTGAAATCAATACTACATCCAACACCACACAAACGCGTAGAGGCAGAGGCAAATGAAACAGGCAGAAAGCAGGGCGTCTCAGTCAGAACTCAAAGAGTATCCTACCCCAGTCGTATAAGCCACGCCGCCCATGTCTCGCAAGATAACGGTTACGGACCGAGTCGGCGGACATGTCGTGTGCTTGTCTGCTGGCGACCTGTACAAGAGCCGCTGGACGTTCTTGACGGCATCGGAGAGGAGCGTGCTCGCGTTGACGGCACCGAGGAACTTGACGGCGCCGGGATGGTCGAGATCGCAGATTTCGAGACGAAGCTTGGGATGTGGAAACTTGGGCGTATCTCGATCGCGATCGTCATGTTTGTCATCCTTCCCTTGCCCTTGATGATCCAGATCCTGTTCCTCCTGAGAACCACGGGAAGGCTCTGGGGTCGGTTGAACCGAAACGGCACTGGAGGTGGCAGCGGCGGCCGGTGAGGGCTCGGTAGCGATCTGCGAGCGGACGGTCATGGTGGGCATAAAAGGTAGATCACGGCCAGGGAAACAAGGGCGTGAATGTTTGCTTGTGGAGAGCACGGAGAGTTAAGGGTGCAAAATCTGTAGTGTACGCCAAAGAGTGTTTGTTTTGCTGGCTGGCCCCAGATGAACGGTGAACCGGTTCACAGGGTGTGAGATGGCCCCTGGTGGCTCGGGAGCTTCCGAGCTTCGGCCCCGCCGTGACGGGACCCGATGGTTGGGGAAGAACCTGGAGCTCCCTCGTGGGGAGCGCGGGGCAACCATGGAGGGCGCCGCTGCGACAGTGGGTGACTATGTGGTGCAAGGGGCAGTGGTACTGCGTAGATGTCGGGTGGGCAGGCAAAAGAGCCGGAGGGCCCCCCTGTTTTGCCGCAGATTGGGCGCGCCTGGGGAAATTGGGGAAATTTCACAAGGACCTCCCGTCCCGTTTCTGACGAATCCGGGCCACACTCGATCCCGGGCCCACCCGTGTACGATTACATACGTCTACCTGTCCATCATTTTGTCATTCGAAGGGGTCCATGGTATTCCATGCCTATCTTACAAACACAGCACCTGCCGAGATTCACCACCACGATTGCAAATCCTGGACTTCGCTTTTTGTTTTAAAAGCCATCCAACGGATTCCGTATTGTCGCAACTCGCTGCGCATAATTTTTTTTTTCTTTTTCATAATTTTCTTTTGCTGAAAAAAGAAAAAAAAAGAGAAAGAAAAGGAAATACGAAAAAACCGCCCTTTCCTCATTGCGCCACTCGGTCTAAACGCCCTTTCCACAGTCTTGCACGACAGCTCCGGTCCGACACGCGCCCTCATTTCCGCCTGCACGAGTTGTTTACTAATAGCTCGAGCTTGTGCGATTACCCACTAAAAGTTTTCTCCTGTTTTGCTTCGCCCCGACTCCCGACCTACTATCACCTCCTGCTACTACCTTCTATCGCGCGACCGATTTCGATTGCGCCAACATCGTATCCCAGGCGATTTTGACGCGCAAATCTTATAGCCGCTACCTCTTCGTCGGGGGGTTATGGCGGAACGAATTACCGATGAGCAGGTCGCCGATCTGCTCGCCATCTTGCGCACCGATGCTTCTGTCGACGCCAAAGCGAACCGCATCACCACCGTGAAGACGAGCATCAAGCAACACAATGTTCCCGCCACATGCTTCGCGCCGCTTTTCGAAGCGCTCCATATTGCCTCGACCGCACAACACCCCGTTCTCGTTAATGCCGGATTCACTACGCTCAACCACCTGCTTGCTCGCTTGGCTAGGCAGGATCCCAAGTTTTTGGCCAAGGAGGCGCCGCACACACTCCCCGTCGTTGTCGACAAGCTTGGCGACCAGAAGGACAAATTCCGCCAGATCGCCGTCCAAGCATTGACAACCCTCTATAAGGTTGCGCCCGTGGACGTCGAGCGCTCTGTGCGCAACATTGCCATGGTTGGCAAGAACCCCCGGGCGAAGGAGATGAGCATGCATTGGCTATTACAGACGCACCAAGAGCAAGGCTTGCAGTTTCGAGGCTACGTTCCGACCCTGATGGAGCTTCTTGAAGACGCCGATGGATCAGTCCGTGACGTGGCTAAGACCACCGTCATTGAGCTCTTCAAAAATGCGCCCAATGCCGCCAAGTCGGATCTGAAGAGGCAGCTCAAGAACTTCAAGGTGAGGCCTGCAATCGAGCAAGTCATCGTGAAGGAGCTTAACAATCCATCCTCCTCTGTTTCCTCCCACCAAAACGATATGATGGACCTGGACGAGCCGGTGGTGCCCACACGCGCTCCCGCGCCCGCCTCCATACGAACCAACCTATCTGCCAGCGTGCCTACTCTCGCGTCTGAGCGCCCCCTTACGCCAGGATTGGATAGTCGTCCCGAGCCGGTCGAGCCACAATTTGTGAACACACAACGTGAGTTGGATGATATATTCAGAGATATGCACATGTTCTTCGACGGAAGGGAGACAGAACAGAATTGGCTGAAGCGGGAGGAGAGCATGACCAAACTGAGGAGACTTATTGCTGGGAACGCCGTCTCGGACTTCCACGACTCCTTTCTCGCTGCGCTTCGAGCGCTACTTGATGGCATCATCAAAGCGGTCACCTCCCTCAGAACCAGCTTGTCCAAAGAAGGCTGCGCTCTTGTCCAGGACATTGCGACCGCTTACGGTCCAGGTATGGATCCGATGGTGGAAATTCTCATGCAGACATTTGTCAAACTATGCGCAGCCACAAAAAAGATTTCCTCTGCGCAAGCCAATGCCACAATCAACACCATCCTTGGCAAGGTCAGCTATACCAATCGTCTTATGCAGCACATCTGGATGGCCTGTCAAGATAAGAACGTTCAGCCGAGGCTCTATGCCACTGAGTGGCTCACAACGATGCTTACCAAAATGGCTCATCACAAAAACCATGTCGAACACACTGGCGGCCTAGATCTGATTGAGAAATGCATCAAGAAGGGCCTGGCCGATGCAAACCCTGGCGTCAGAGAAAAGATGCGAGCAACGTATTGGACTTTCTCTGGGATATGGCCAGCCCGAGCGACTCACATAATGAACGAGCTTGACTCGACCGCACAAAAGCTGCTCCAAAAGGACCCTCATAACCCTAATGCCCACAGTAGGACTGAGACAGGAGGAGCCCGCCCTGGCATGGGTCTCTCCAAGAGCGTCATGGGGGCTCCCAAGCCGAGCGTGCGCGATGCCATTATTGCTCAAAAGAGAGCCATGGCATCGTCGAAAAACCAGCCGCCACGGCCCGGTTCAGCAATGGCTCATTTCTCTCCCGTGGGGACGACAAGAAATGTTTCATCAACCTCCCAAGCATCCGTCGCTTCTGCTACCACAGCGTCCGCTGTTCCGGCACCAACTAAATCAGCCTTTGGTGCTAGCTCGGGGGGGCTTTCGGGGGCACCGATGCGGCCCGGCAAAAGAAAGCCTGAAGTAGCCGCTCGACCGGCAACGGCGGGTCCATATTCGGTGAGGAATGAAGTACCTCCCGCCGAGCCAGCGAGCCCGCCTTCAAAACCTAGGATCAAGACCGTCACAAGCCCAAAGACGCAGACACTCGTCATCTCCCCGAAGAAGGCGATCCCTAGGCCACAACAAGGTCATTCTACGAATAGCAGCGAGTCCGGCATTCCAATTCCGGTTTCCGGTATTTCTAGTCCAACAAAGCCTACCAGCGCATTTGGTCTTCGTTCTCCCCGATCACCTCTAGCGCCGGAGTTGCCTCCATCATCCGTAATCGCCTCGCCTTCCAGAGTTATGCCAGACCCTGCTCAAATACCACTGCCCGAGAGCAGCCCATCCAAAGACGAAGAGCTCTCGCTGGTAGTACCTGGCTCTGTGCTACCAACTCAGAAGACCCCGTCGCCGACGGAAGAGTCACAGCAACCGCAGATTGCTATAGTGCCCATTGAGGCCGTTGAGATCGTACCTGATAGCCCCTACAGGTCTGTCCAAGTGTATGAGGACCCATTTACTGTAGGACAGGCCCAACCACAGTCCACCTATACCAGTCCTGTTTTGGAACCGAAGCCGGTAAATGAGGGTGCTGCTACTTCCCCGCCGCCACAGCCATCGTACGATGGTGAGAACGGCCACGACATGGGCGAAATCCCCATTCCTTCTTCCCCTGAACGTACCAGGCAAAATTCGCGCCTCCTCGACAGTGGCATTTCCAAGGTCGAGACCAAGTCCCTCGACGTCCATGGCTTCCGCAAGCTGCAGGGCATTATCCGCGATCCCAAGGGTGGCGCCATCTTCACCGACGACAAGTTCGACGCCCTCCTCTCTGGCCTCTTCGAGTTTCTCAAAGCCCACCCCTCCGAGATCCCCCACGTTCCTGCCGAGAAGCAACAGGACGTCAAGGCTCAAATCCTGGCCACCATTAAGCTGCTCCTTAAGAAGATGCGCGAAAATTTTCGTCCTCACGTCTCCCGCGGCCTCGACAGCCTGCTGCGCGCCCGCGCCGCCTACGACAGCCGCTCCCACATCGTCAGCGGAATGGAACTGCTCGCCGACGAGCTCATCACCCTAGGCGACCCTACCGAGATTACCCTCGTGTTGGCAAACACGCTCCGCGAAGCACTGCTTGATAAGGACCAGCAGCACAACACGGCTGCTCGCTCCCTCAGTCTGGGAATGCACGTCCTCAAGGAGGTGGTCGAAAGCTCGGCAAATTCCTCGACGCCGTTCACGCCCACTGAGCAGGAACTGGACACACTCGCTGGGCTGGCGGCCAAGTGCCTCGAAAGCGCAGATAGTGCGGTGCGCATGGATGCTGTACAGTTGTGTGTGGCACTACATGCGAAGGTGGGCGATCAGAGGTTTTGGGATGCGGTGAAGAGGGAGGGCGTACGAGATGATCCGAAGAGTCTGATAACTTATTATATTGTAAGGAGGCAGCGTGAAGTTGGTACCAATGCATGAGGAAGTGCTTGGAGAGCTTCGCGACTCGCTGAAGACCCAATGGGCCATGGGGATTACGATGAGGAAGTTAGTAATGGGTAATATGATGGGTACAATAATGTGTTGTTTTTGGAGTATGTACGAAGAAGAATCCATTAGATGTCTTTTATGGGGCTGTTGCTCTTGGGGGTTCGATTCTCGGGATCAAGGCTAGGGCCTTTTGCACGCGGATAGGATGTTGATGGAGGATGTTGTATGATGCGCTCAGTGGTAATGGAAATGAGACAGACAGAAAAGCATGGATCAAGGCAGGCGCTGGTGCAAGAAGGAGGGAATGGCAATTAAGATTTATGTGTCTCCTTAACAGCATGGCGTTCTTGTTATTCGCGGGTATTTGGCTGGCTGTGTTAATTCACACATCATCATCAGCATATATTACATATCAAAGCTACATATTACGTCTTGATTCACTTCCTAGATTTGACTTTCTGATGTATTACAAGGATCAAGAAACTATAGTTAAACTAAATGTTATAAGTACGAAAACTGCCTACTGTTCAAACCACAGGGGTATTTTAGTCTATCAAACAAAACGTAATCCCATTCCCGCGCAAAGATTTTATCGAGAACAAAAATGAAAAAAACACAGTGGAAACAAGAAAGAACATCCATAAGATATGCCCATTGATGTCTGTGATGAAGATTCACTTGAACCTGATTTCTGTGCCGCCCGCTTCCCATCTCTACGCTTGTCAAGTCGATGATGAAACACCGACCGACCGAGGGTGAGGACTTTTCCCATCTCACCCACCCATGACATCTAATTCGTGATAGTGTGCGTAACGCCGGTATCAAAAGTGAAAAGGAACTGCTTTCCTTTGAAGTGCTGCGTAAAAACAGCTTGAGTACTAGGGAAGCCGTGGGGTGAGCAGAAGGATGTGAATGCCAGAGACATTCGTCATCTATGCTTTAGACGCGCCGACATGTTGAGCACGCTGACTGATGCCATTTATTCTTTTGACATGATTGACCAGTTTAACAAATAGGAGTTACTTATTCCGTCGCTGGGAGTAACAGTGTCGAGGAAAAGAGGAACTCGAAGGATCGAGGATCAGTAGGAGAGAAGACTGGTTGCTCTTGTTTTGACTTAATTTGGATGACTGGAACATGAAGGGAACCGATTAGCTAAAATCAACAAACCCAAAATGGAAAAAGTGTCATTGGCAATCTTACAGTTGAGACTAATCGCTTCAAAGTACGCTTTGATAGCAGGATCTTGTTCCTCCGTCACCAGTTTGCCATCCGACTCTCGGTGAGCTGTGCGCGGGAGGGCTTTACGGATCGTCAAGAGCATCCGCAGCAAATCGGCGATGACATAGCCCTGCTGGGCAAAGCTTCCTGGGTCCTTTTCTAATGGCCACATCGTCCTCAGGTTGGGTTGTTCCCAGGCCTTGAAAGCCCACGTCGATTTCTCGACACAGTTCAACAGGATCAGGGTTGCAAAGTACATGCCGAAGTCGATCTTGACTTTGCTGTCTTGCAGCACTCTCTGCATGCCTGTAAGAAGGGTTTTGCTTGTAGCAGCCGCTTTCCGTTCTGCTGCCGCCGCAAGCTGCAGACAAATCGTGGTGAAAACTTCTTCGTGGGTCTCCTCCTTGATGTGACTGATGACGGTATCGTCAAGAGTGGACTTTACCGAAATTGTCCATTGGCGCTCTCTGTCCAATATTTCCACTAGTCCCCAGAGTTCGAGAGATTTCTTGAGTAGTTCGTCGTTGGTCGTGCTTGCAATTTCGAGGGCGGTTTGTAGAGTAACTTGCATGAAGTTAGACGGCTCCCGCTTAATGAGCTCTGGAAGAACCTCACGCATATATGACTCGAGACGGGCAGGAACGTCTTGTGTGTCGTTGTCAACCATGATGATTGGGTAATCCAAAGGTTTATCTGATGGTACTGCCGTGGTCACCTTTCCGTCTGCTTCCCTGATCCCATCACGCTGTAAAACCTGAAGTCGCAAATGCGAAGAAAGCTCCGGGAAGTGGCACGCTTCGATAACTAGACCGTGGTTGCTAAGGACCATGGCTTGCTTGAAAGTATTGATCCTGCCTTGCGCTAGGACGATCTGAACGCCAGCAGAGTACAGATCGAGCTGCTCTGAGAACTTGGTACGTACACAACCAGAACGCCATACACGCGGTGACAAGACCTTGCGGCATGTGTCGCAAGGTTCTCCAGGGGAGCAAGTCTTTCGCAAAACCCTGCAGCGGATACACGCGCCAATCTTGCGCACCTCTTGAACCTGCTTTCTCCTCGTCGCATTGAACCTCGCCCGCGAATGACGGGCTTTGGAGGTTGTCTCGAGACGGAATCCGCCTTTGGTAAGCGATGCCGTTGTATGAGGGACAGAGTCGCCAGCCGGCATTGTTTGGAAAGCATCGGCCGTGTAGGTGATCTCGCCCCAGGGTTGGGAGGGCGTAGTCGCGGGGATAGATGGCGACACTTCAGGCGGACTTTGGTGGGATTGGTGGGCTTGTTCGGAAGCCGAAAGACTGCTCGCTACTGCGGCGGCGGCAGCGGCAGTCGCACTTGCGGCCTCGGCAGCGGCGGCAGCTTCTTGCCCTAGCAGCTGAGGGTCAAGAAGCCCATGGTGTAGTCGAGCAGCGGCAGCTGCGGCCATCGATATGTTGGCGGCGTCGGCATTGGCGTTTTCCTCCACCCGTAGTATCTCGTGTAATCTCTCTTCGGCGGTGAGAACTCGTTCTTCATCTGTCGGTGCAACTGGTTCGGCTGTAATGACCAACTTGTCAGTCTCCGGTGGCAAAGATAACAAAGGCGGTGTAAGCCAGACGCCCGCAACTTACGCTTTGGTTGCTCGCCCAAAACAGTATGCTCGTCGGTCTGATGTGGATGCTCTACATTTCCTTGATCCTGCACAACAAAGTGTTCGACAGATTGTGAGGTCGCGGCGCCTAGTACGGTACCCGAAGAGACATTTGGGTGTAGAGGGACGCGATCGTCGTTCTTCTCGCTCATGTCAATCTGCCTCGAAACCTCGGCCAGCACTCCGAGGGCAGTCCAATCACGCTGGAGGTCGCGCTGTATCATGGGCAGATCCACTGGAGAGCCATTGACGCCATTGACCTGGGTCGGGACCTGCAAGGGCTGTTGTACCTGGCCCTGGGCGTGCTGCGTTTGTTGTAGTCGGTGGGAAGCATGGCTCATTCCGGAGAGGGTAAAGATGGCATTAACACGGTCGGCTTCGCCAATGGCGGGACATTTCTTGGTAAGGTGGGTTGTCAAGCTGTCGAGACGGCCTCGTGGGAAGTGCTCTCCGCATCTGTGTCGGTGAAGTGGGAAGCAATCAGCATCAGAAGCATCATGGGCGGCAGCAGTGGTCGTCGACATGGTCGAGGCTCAGAGGAGGAGGGTTGGAGACTGGTGAAAAGCAAAGCGATGGAGAGCGACGACAACAATGACGACGACAGTGTTGACATTAACTGGGAGAGAAGAGTCGGTCACCGCAACTCACGATTTACAAGTATGAGGATAACGATTGCTCTGGTCCTGCAGCTTTGGGCCTCGCTCGAAATACTGCAGGATCAGAGCATTCGGCCGTCTACCCATTGTGCCGGAGACTGCACGGCTGGACAATCGGGGGGCATCTAGGAAGAAAGACTGGCGACTGCTTGTCGGTGAGCGATTGGCGACTGGCGCTGGCGCGGGCCGGGGAGGGGTCTCCTCGATGGATGGCGACGTGAAAATACTGCCGGTCTAAAAATGTTGGCGGTCAGGAAATGCGAGCACGGCACGACGAGCGGTAGAGCGGTAGAGAGAAGCAGTTGGCCACGAACAATCCAGGAACCGGCAAAGACGGTGAGCGAGTCCGGGTGGTTGGCAAGGGTCACGTGGGGCTACGTATCTCGCCAAGCCCGCGCTAGCTCACTACTTTAGCCTTACATAAGACAGGACCGGGGGGGCCTGGACGCCCTGGAGTTCGAGCCGCACGGTGTCTCTGCACCCTGGGGCTGTCACTTACATACCTAGTGTCCGGGCAAACTTCTATGGACACTCGCTCAGCCTATGAAGACGGGACTGAGTTCAGCTCAGCATTCACTCTGTAACAGGACGTTCGATACAACTGAAGTGACTTTATGAAGTAAGCAAGGAACTGTCTCTTCAAATGACCCGACGACGGGAGTTGCTGGGTACATAGTACAGGTGCAAAACAAGGCTCGCTGGACAACTTACTTTCGTTAGATCTGCCGCATATGCCGTGACTAAAGTTGGCACGGATTGATATTGATTTGCACCGACTTGGGTCAGCCCGAACTTCAGTTCCTTTTCCCTACTGGTGACCTTGTCAAATGTCCGTACCTCTTCTAATTCGCGTCAGAGGCAGCGCCGGTCGTCTAATCCCCAGTCTTGCCTTCGGGACTATCGCGCTTTCCGAGATATCTACACTATGCTTGACACTCCCCAGCATTTGAGACTCAAAAGAAGATGCCGTCATCATAGGTAGGCCTGGACCCCATCGCCAAGTTTGTTCCTGAACTGTACCTTATAGACTAAAGGGGCCGGGTACCCACACACCAACTTGGATGGAATTGTTGTCGAGAGCCACTCATCACTGCAATCCACTCTGCCATCGAACCCCCCCACACGCTGCCATGATCCTTGTGAGGCAATCGAAGCCCCCGAGCAGTCCGGCTGTCCCTTACCAGTACTCACTCACTGGATATCCCGCAGTTTTCTGCCCTCCTTATACGCGCATCCCCTGAATCTGATACATCCTAGCGTTTTGATTCTGGTGTCGTTGTAGCTTATCAACAACTGCGTATTCGCATCAAGAAATCAGGGGCACTCTTTTTTCAGCAAATACCTAGTCTTCAGCCAAACGACCACGTCTTTAGCTTTAGCCTAACCACACTCTTGGCCACAACCAAGTTCCCAGTGGACACGACGTTACGATCTTCACCACGCAGGGTGCAACAAGACATAATATTTTTACCCCGTGCTGTTCCAATTACTTCCAGCAAATCGACAAGTCTTCAACACCGTCTGGGGAGTCCACTTCAACTCCGCGTCCTCGTGTTCCGTCTCCGTTTCCCCGGGTCCGGTTGTTGCTTCCGGGATGCAGAACCAGGGCAAGCACCTGCCAGCCGCCCCACACCACTCGACCGCTGCCTTCTTAGCTCCCGGTTAAGACCCGACAAGCCGTCAACACCACATACGCTCCGTCATCACCGACATACTGCATTCCCGTTTTGGCTACGACGTGAGGCACAGTATCATCCGCTTCATTTCGCTACGGAAGTCTTTCAAACCTACGCCTTTTGTCTTGCTTAACCTGCGGAGTCATTACTACATACTTGACGGTGCCAAGTTTCGCTGGGTCTCGGCGTGTACTGGGCTTCAAGTTGGCGGGACCGATACGGCACGCATAGCGCAGGGTCGTTCAGGATGCTCCTCCTCCACCAAACCGGCAGCGTCAAAATTGGCGAAGTAGTCCGCTACACCGTTACTTATACCCCGTCTGCCGACCATATCCTTCCATCTCCCGAATTTCTATCCCTACGCATCAAGAATACCTCGGCCATTGCTCTGCGGGCTGCCTTCGTCCACGGTCCCTACACCCTTTCCGTTGCGGCTTACCCTTCTCACTTCAACCCAAATGAAAAGTTTGAAAACCCCCGTCGCTATGGGATCCCCGAGTTTGAGCCCATGCTCAAGGCTGGTGCTGTCTGGAACTGTCACCTTGTCGTACCCGACAACATTCGTCAGTCAGCCGGTGAGGGGACAAGCAAGCACGGCCAGTTTGGCAACCCCGAAACCCGTGGTGAAAGTGTTTCATGGGTCATTGAAGTTGCCTCGCAGGTGATCTTCTCCACTTCGGCTGCCGTTCACTATGTGATTCTCCTCGCCCGGGACGAAAAGTCTCTGAACCTCGGCTCCGTCGTTCCGGTTCTCGGAGGCCAGTTCCAAGCCCCGGAGCCGGGCCAGGTCAGCGACTTTCAGCAAAGCATTGGCAGCATCAAGGATCATCCAGCACAACCAAAAGGGGTCTTCTCGCGAGCCATACGGCTAAAGGTAGAGGATACAGGCGCATTGTGGAACACGCCCCAACTTCCAGGGTGGGATCAAGAAGTCCATCACCGGGCCAAGTGTCACGGTGCCGATGCTCCTGTGGAGCCCGCCGTTCAGAACAAAAAGGATAAGGAACCGATAAATCCGAAGAAGCAGAAAAAGGTTCACCTGGTTGTTCTGACGCATGGGCTACACAGCAATTTGGGGGCTGATATGCTCTATATGAAGGAGAGCATCGACGCAGGAGTACGAAAGGCGAAACAAGATGCCAAGGCGCGAAGAGCAAAGGAACGAGCAGCGAAACACCAGCGAGACACCTCGTCGTCTGCAGAGGCAGGGGGGAAAAGAGCAACTGGTGATGAGGACCAGCTGCGGGCAGATGACGGGCAAGGTGGTAGCGATGACGAAGACGACGAGGAGGTGATTGTGCGCGGCTTCTCAGGAAATGCCACCAGGACTGAAAAGGGTATCAAATATCTAGGAAAGCGGCTTGCCAAGTACGTCCTGACAATGGTTTTCCCTGATCAACCATTCATACCCACCACCAGAGCGGCGTCGCAGGCCATTGTCCACTCGCTCAAAGCTAGCAAGCAGGACGCAGAGAAAGATTCGGGGCAAAAGCGCCCTTATTCTGGGTCCAAAAAGACAGAAAGGGGTTACAAAATCACCAAGATCAGCTTCATTGGCCATTCACTTGGCGGCCTTATACAAACATACGCAATTGCCTACATCCAGAAGCATTCACCAACCTTTTTCGATCAGGTTGAACCAGTCAACTTCATTGCCTTGGCATCCCCATTTCTTGGCCTCAATCATGAAAACCCTTACTACGTCAAGTTTGCCCTCGATTTTGGCTTGGTGGGAAGGACCGGTCAGGATTTGGGACTCACTTGGAGAGCTCCAACAATCGCGCGAAACGGGTTTGGGGCGATCATAAGCCAATTTGGAGAAAATACGCACAAACACGTCTACGGAGAACCCCAGCCGGAATCAAAGCCGCTGCTACGCATCTTGCCTACCGGGCCGGCGCATACAGCATTGAAGAAATTCCGAAACAGGACCGTATACTCCAATGTCGTCAACGATGGAATCGTGCCACTCCGCACAAGTTGTCTATTGTTCTTGGATTGGCAGGGCTTAGGGCGTGTCGAAAAGGCTCGAAGAGAGGCCGGATTAGTTGAAACTGCTTTAAGCTTTGGGTGGGCTGAATTGACAGGGACAAATACGACGGCGCCACGAGCGAGGCCCTGGGCCCCAGACGATGTAGAGGAAAAGCCAGGTGAGGAGGGATCTGGAGACTCGACACCTACAGGCCCTTATGATGCCCACGAGGTTCCCCAGCCGCCACCTCATGCCATGCTGGACGATGATCGAGCGAGTCTTCGATCAACTGTTGTGGCATCTCCAGAGTCCGAGTTTCAGAAGCTCCAGAATCTTCAAAGCGCAACTACTTCGAATAACACCAACAATCCCTTCACCGGTTTGATAAATTTCTTCCGTTCTAGCGAATCGCAAAAGCAAGCACCTGCTCCACAGTCTTCTAAAGCCAACAGAATCTATCAACGAAGTCAGATTCTGAGATCAGACGACACATCTACGACGGCCTCAGCTTCTTCGCCTCGATCGCGAGTCACCACCGGCAATGAGCTCTTAGATTCGGGAGAAAGCGTCCTGGCTCCGCCCAAGACGACGGTATTTGAGGCAGCTAGTGACTTGATCAACCCGAAATTACCTTCAGTTGAGTATCTCATCGATCCGTCCAAACGACCTCGCGCCATCTTTCATGATAGGATATATCATCCTTCAGATATTCCGCCCCCACCACTAAAGAAACGACCCACTACCAGCGGCTTCCGACGAAGAGCTACGGCAAGCACTGAATCTTCAAGCAGCTCCGCGACTCAAGCTCCCCAGGTTAAAACCCCAGGTAGCGAGGCGTCGTCCCCCTATGCTCCGTCACCAGGAATCTTTCCCCGGGACTCGTCATTATCACGGCATGACTACGATGACACAGAACATACCAACCCCGATATGGACCCGTCTGAGATAGTCGACGGTTCCCAAATGCAAGTTGAGGAGAAGATCGCCAGAGCCTACCATAGGGGTCTCTCATGGCGCAAAGTTCTCGTCAAGCTGGAGCCTGATGCGCACAACAACATCATCGTGCGTCGCCAGTTCGCCAACGCATTCGGATGGCCAGTTATTCAGCATCTCGTGGAGGCACACTTTAGCGATTCGGCAACCGCCAAAACGTCTGACGACAAGGCCACAAACAAAGAGCGCGCCAAGCCCCTGTATGTACCGCCCGATGAGCATGGCTCCGAAGTTAAGGATACCGATATCAGCTCGGAGACACGGACGCATAGTAGGGGAGGCTCAACTCAAAGCGAAAGGGATGCCAGAGAGGCTGAAGACGTCGTTTCCGGCTTGCCTAGAAGCTCTAATGTTGTGAGCTCTAGTGATAGAACCAAGGGCTTTCTGTCATCACAATCAGCGGCCTCGCCCTCAGGATCTCTGAGTGCCACCGAGCGGCCAAAATTCGTACGCCGAATGGACTCTGTGACGTGGAGCGATCGAGACTGGATCGAAAGTGGCGACGAGAGCGACACTGGAAGCGAGAGCGGCGGTCAGCGGGAAAACAAGAAGGATTCTGTTTTTATGGGCGGTCTATCGCCGGCGGACAAGAAAGGAAAAGGGGCGGCAGCAGTTACGTCAACAACAACAAACTCCTTCTCCGACCCTGCGGCGGCGGCTGACTCGGGCGGTAGTAGTGGTGACTCGACAAAGCCTGGGTTCAAAAGATCGAGCACGCTGAATTGGAACTGGACCGAGAAAATCGTCGGGAAGGGAGCCCTCGGCAGGCCAAAGTCGCCTAGGTCGTCGTCTTTGGCCTCGACCGCGGGTGGTACTACGGACATTCAAGGGTTGGGCTTGGCTAGCTCGGCTGCCCAGATTATTGGGAGACCCCAGAGTCAGGGGAAGTCGGCGTTAATGCCAACGGTGGTTACTGAACATGGTCAAATGACTCGGCAGGAATAGGAATAGGCACCGCAATAGGCAAAAGGATGATGCGGCAGGGCTGATGAGGGTGAAAGGATAATAATGTTGACAAGCTTACAAGTAGTTAGGTTGCTGAGAGCCCCGGGGGGGAAGCGGTCTCGTAGAGAGTATCTAGACTCCTGCTATACTAGAGTAGCATTACTTTAGAGATGTACATTTGGAGGATCACAACGTTTAATACCCTATTGTTTACTATCTGTTCGTCTAGAGGTACTAGCTGGTCGGCGTTCATTGATATAAAATGCATCACATCCCTCACGATGAAAATGCAGGTCATGCACTCATAAGACCTTTGTCTCCGCATTGGTAATATCTTTTTTAGTCTGCCTTTGGCCTAAGACTATTGTGATGTCCCTAGTATTTTGGCGCATTCAAATGGGTAACATCGTATCTACACGGATACACAAAACAACACCAACAACACCAACAACACCAACAACACCAACGTTTTGTATCGTACATATAGTGGTTTGATATCCGTGTGTTTGGTGAAGGTGTCACACCTCACATGTATGAGCTTTTAGTGTGTTCCAGGACGGTTCTTTTTACCTCGATAGTTGTTTAATCATTCATTGGTAACAGCTCACAGAACCCGTCTGTGCATACTCTCGAGTTCTACCACATGTACCGAGATATTTAAAGAGTGTAAGGGTAGATTGAAAAGCCTCAAGGGTGTCTGGCTCGACTGCTAGAGCACTGGCAATACCTCCCCCCCCCCCCCCCCCCCCCCCCCCCCCCAAACCCAACCCAACCCAACCCAAAAAAAAAAAAAAAAAAAAAAAAAAAAAAAAAAAACAGGGTTTTTTTTGAGCTTGTCCCCTTTCTTGATATCTTCTCGCACTTTGGGGGGTCATTGTAATCAAATGCTCAAGTATCTGCGAGATTCCATTCTTCGTCTCTTGCTGGTTGGTGTTCTGCCCACGAATGGAAACTTTGGATTCATTTGTTTTCCGCCCCGTGGGGGTTACCGTCAGGTACACTGGACACTCTGTACCTATGTCGCTGTACCCGACCCCGAATGTCGCACCACGTCTTTTCAGGAACCAATGGAACCCGTCGGCAGTAGAACAGGTAGACTTTACGCTACAGTAGTGTTAAATGCAGACTTTACGGGGCACCACACACAACGTCGCCCTTGCAGATTCGGAGAGGTGATTCCCGCGATTCAATTCGATGGCGGTTGCTTTTGAATGGAGAAATTCGTCAATCACGTAATTGAGCAAGTGGAATTCTTCAGTGATGTGGGGTCGTCGGCGCCTGTACACTACATATGGTAGTCCGTGTATCGGGTGTTTTTTTTTTGGGGGGGGGGGGGGGGGGGGGAGGGGGACCCATCGCTGACTCGTCGACTGTTTGTCGGAGCTTGCTTTCGCTTCTTCTCCTTTTAGCTGTTTCTGTGACGAAGAAGGTCGAGTTGATATGTGAAATTTTCGCGAATTTTTGCGGCCGGTGTGTCCGTCTACCTACACTATTGTAAAGTACATATCTATATACAGTGGCGGAAGCAAAGTGCGTGTCGAGATGGCTTGATGGAAGCTATACAATACACTAGATTAAGTGTTGGCCAGTTCGTTGGGGTGGCCAAGAAAAGTGGAGTTGACCGCTGTTTTGAACCACATCCGGACTGGCTTCAAGTTCTTCTTTGCAACTTGTGAAGATGGTTCGGGCCCGGGCTAGTGAGGCGATGATGTGCTGATCCACCACGCACCCAATTCTGGAGATGGACGTCGAGTTGTTTCCATTTGTCGTGGGGGAGCGCATGTAGATAACTTGACTATCATATGCTCGTTTCTCCCATTCAGGAGGGTTGCGGTTAGCCATAGCAGCACCTATCAATTCACCTTGAACTATTCTTCGGTCGTGTAGCCTCCTGAATCTTGCCTCTCGTTGACTGTCGTTGTTTTCCATACAGCGTGCAGGGTGTTGTTCGTTGTTGTCCAAGGGCACGTCGATTGGTGAACGGTTTGCGAAGCTTTTTTTGGCGGGGTTCGATGACCCCACATCTCCGGTCTTTGGGAATGCGCAGAGGGGTCAGGTCGGGGCACCTCACCTCACTGCCTGGCATGCGGGTACAAGGAAAAGTTACCGGGCAAGTACCGTCCCTGCATCGTGTCGACAAATTATATGAGACCTTTCGTGCCATAATAAGCGCTGCGAAGGTCTCATCAATTTTGTCGTCGCCATGACCGTATACACTACACGTACACTAGTACCGTGACCGTTACCCAACTCCAGCTTTGGAGAAGGCGGGTGAGTGGGTGAGGCAAGCGATCGGCCGACGCGGGATCCTTGGCCTTGTCAACCCCGGTCGCCAATGGGACTCACTCCGGGGATCGGCGTCACTTTACTTTCGTTTCTCTGTGCTCTTTCCATTGCTCGAGCTTGCTTGTGTGTCTCCTCGGGTTCGCCCATTGCCTTCGGGGACGTGGTCGGCCGTGTTCGACAAAAAAGCTGCCCTTACGCACTTTCCCTCTCCCGGTGGCCCCGTGCATATCTGTAGACTGCCTCTGGCCTTCTTTCGCTTTTTCATTTTGTCTCTTGCCTCTCTCCTTTCTCCGAATTTTCTCACTTCCCACCACCATTGTCTTTCGTCTTTGGTGTCCTTTTCATCTGGAGCTCGAGGCAATCGGATCCAAAAGAGGAATCACGCTATCGCACGGATACTTCGGGCGTAGAAACCACGTTGGCTATCGAAAAGGTAGCAGTCCAGAAGACGAAGAGACCTTGAACACTTAGTTTCTTCACCTTGTCATTAGGTAGGTAGGCACAACTATGAATCCACCACCCCGTGTATCATAGGCTTCCCGTTCGTGCATTTCCCCAACAACCTTTCCGCGTGGGAGTTTCCCTATCTTCTCCCGAGTACGCAGCGTCCAACGGACCGTCCCAGCATACTAATCCATCACGTTCGATATCCCAATCGCAATGTCCCGTCGTCGGTCCCATCTAGCCGGTCCTTTTCTGGGTGCCATCGTCCAAACTCTCGCCTCCCCGGGAGCTTGGACAACTGGTTGGGCCACCAACCGTGACCGCGACTGCGACCAAGCATCAGTTCTTTGTCACCCCTCTCAGTATTCTTGTCAACAAAGAATAATGCTAACTCAGACGTTACAGAATACCTACTGCCACTTATATAACACAACAAGTCCCTTAATACGCGCTCCCCGCAGTCGCACCCAACACACCCGGTCAAGATGCATATCCGGGAGATGCTTGCCGATGCCGAAAGGACGAAGGCCCCGTCCTTCTCCTTCGAGTACTTCCCGCCCAAGACGGCACAGGGTGTCCAGAACCTCTACGACCGCATGGACCGCATGTACAACTTTGGTCCCAAGTTCATTGACATCACATGGGGCGCCGGTGGTCGTATTGCCGAACTTACCTGCGAAATGGTTGCCCAGGCCCAGGCTTACCTCGGCCTCGAGACGTGTATGCATCTCACCTGCACCGACATGGGTGAGGAGAAGGTGAACAACGCTCTGCAAAGGGCCTACAAGGCCGGCTGCACCAACATTTTGGCATTGCGAGGTGATCCTCCCCGTGAGAAGGAGAGGTGGGAGGCTGCTGAGGGCGGTTTCCAGTACGCTCGGGACTTGGTCGCCCATATTCGCAAGTTGTACGGCGACCACTTCGACATTGGTGTTGCTGGCTATCCCGAGGGTTGCGATGACAACAAGGATGAGGAGTCTCTGCTCGATCACCTGAAGGAGAAAGTCGACATGGGCGCGTCCTTCATTGTCACTCAGATGTTCTACGACGTTGACAACTTCCTGCGCTGGGTCAAGCGGGTTAGGGAGAGGGGGATCACAATTCCTATTATTCCTGGCATCATGCCCATCGCCACCTACGCCAGTTTCATTCGCCGCGCGAACCACATGAACTGCAAGATCCCCGAGGAATGGATGGCGAAACTCGAGCCCGTCAAGAACGATGATGTGGCTGTCCGTGAGATTGGCAAGACTCTTGTTGCCGAAATGTGCCGCAAGATTGTCGACGCGGGTATCCGCCACTTGCATTTCTACACCATGAACCTCGCCCAGGCTACGCGCATGGTTCTTGAGGAGCTTGACTGGTTGCCTTCGCCCAACCGGCCGCTCAAGCGCGCTCTTCCCTGGAAGCAGTCTTTGGGTTCTGGGAGAAGGGATGAAGATGTGCGCCCCATCTTCTGGCGCAACCGCAACAAATCCTACATCACCCGCACCCAAGACTGGGACGAGTTTCCTAACGGCCGCTGGGGTGATTCGAGATCTCCTGCCTTCGGTGAGCTTGATGCCTATGGTATTGGCTTGACGGGTTCCAATGAGCTGAATCGCAAGAAGTGGGGCGAGCCTCAAACCGTCAAGGACATCGCCAACCTCTTCGTGCGCTATCTTAACCAGGAGCTCGAATACCTGCCATGGAGCGAGGCCCCTATCTCGAGCGAAGCTGAGCTGATCAAGGATGACCTCATTGCTCTCAACAACCGTGGCTTGATCACCATTAACTCCCAGCCGGCTGTCAATGGCGTCAAGTCGACACACCCCGTCCATGGCTGGGGTCCCGCGAATGGTTATGTCTATCAAAAGGCTTATCTGGAACTCTTAGTCTCTCCAGAACTCTTCCCCGAAATCAAGCGCCGGATCGAGGACCACCCCGACATCACCTACTATGCCGTAACCAAGTCCGGTAACCTCCACACCAATGCGCCATCCGAAGGACCCAACGCAGTTACATGGGGTGTTTTCCCAGGCAAGGAGATCGTGCAGCCCACCATCGTTGAGAGCATCAGCTTCCTTGCCTGGAAGGACGAGGCCTTTCAACTGGGTCTTGAGTGGGCCCGCTGCTACGACGCCGATACCCCCAGTCGCCTCCTGATTGAGGACATCATGAACAAGTGGTATTTGATCAACATCGGTAAGTTGAACACAGCTCAGCTGTTTCCTCAAGGATGTACTAACTTTGGTTCTTAGTAAACAACGATTTCCACCAACCACGCACCATCTTCGAGATCTTGAATGACCTGTCTCTTCCCGATCTTGAGAAGGTTTACACGCCCGCACATACGAATGGTGCAACCAACGGCGTTTCTGAGGCTTCAACAGTGCCTCAATAAAGGAGATACGTCCTCTCTTCTTTTACTTTTCCTCCCAACGACATATTATTTCAACATTTTTTCTTATTTTTTTCAACAATGCATGGAAGCCTACGGGTAGGCTTTCCACTCCCCGTTACCTAAACGTAATATTTGACCGTTTTTCAACAAAAAGCGCGTTTTCAGACAACAAGCATGACGTACTCTGCTGCCAGGTTTTGCGGGATACAACAGGACAGAGCAACGACAACGATTGATGATTCCAAGTTTTGCCGAACCGTAAGGCAGCATTTGCATACCAAGCATATATACAGAGAACGGAAAGGGTACCGGGGAAACTTTCAACACACACGGGAGAGGAAAAGGAAAGAGGTTAAAGCACAGCATTATACAAAACCGGCGTTCTGCGATGTCGAGCTTTGGCGGGATTGGACCGTCGGGTAACTGGCATTATTTTGGGTGAGTTTGATTTTTCAACAAAAATTCGGAAGGAGCATGGGACCGGCACCTTGAGGGAGATGCTCAACAAAGGTACGAAGATGAAAATTGAAAGGAGAAATAAACGCACAAAGTGAATGAGGATCTGTGGACATGTGGGCATAGGCAGGACGGTGCATATCTCAACGATACCCGGAAGTGGAATGGAAAATGGTGTTAGGCAGGCAGCAATCGAGAATGGATTTTGGATTGGATCATCTTGTATTGACTCCTCTTCGACCACCACGATCAATTGCTTCCCTTGCAGTGAATCTTGAATAGCCCGGCAGGTGAACAACGAGCAATTAGCACGAGCATCACTGAAAGTATACTCTTCTTACCTACGCAAAGAAGTTCTAACTAGGTGAGCCAATCCCATGTTGCCGATACCGCTGGACATTTGGCTTTTATCTGCCCAACATAGTCAGACTAGAAATAAGATAAGGCTTCATTGTTTCCCATTATGGTACCGTCAAAAACCCACGAGTCGCTGCAGTTGTCTAGTAGGACCTCGGTAGCTATCAATTGGCGCACATGTCACAGTTTCCGGAACAAAACACAAGGCATCACTCTAGAGAAAGAGAGGGCTGACAAGGCCCGTTGATCATGTTCCAAGTATGGGGAAACCCGCTTGACCACATTTCCTCTCACTTGGAAACCCCCCCGTCCCCTCCCTCAGAAGAAGATTTAGACGAATGAGGGTGAGCGACAAAGTGGACGGGATGTTTTAGGGTCCCCCCTTCTTCCTTCTTTAGAAATAAACGGGACGGGGAAGAGACAAGGGGCCAATGCCGCTGGATACCATAGCCAGTGTCAGTGTGCCACCACCCACCGGATAGAAACAGCCTTTCAGGAGCAGTTTTGCGGGATAGTAAGGCAGTGAGTGGTAGGGCGGTAGAGATGGCTTGAACGGAAGAACACTGGAGGATCGTCGTCATGGGTGTGGTGTCGACGAGTTCGTAAGTAGTGCATACCTTTACATAGCTCAAGTGCTCAGGTTGCTTGTACTACCCAAGCACACATCTGCCAGCTTTAAACTTGTTAGCGCGGTAAATTGCAATTGGCAAGAATCCTAATTTTCCTACAAAACATGGCTCGGTTAACCACAGCTACTATGTAAACCCCTGAATGCTGCAAGATGGCGATACCACGCTAACAAGTTTGATGCCGGCAGAGGTGTACATACTTAGCTTTTGCACCGAAACCTCATGTATGAAACACGACTTGGCAACCCTCGTTTGTTATGTACTCTGGCCAGCAGAGAACTCTGGAAAACTTCTGAGATGTCTCTTTCATCATGGCGTTAGGTCGTACTGGAAAGCTGCAGCTTCGACCCCTGCGCGAGAGGGCGATGCTGTTGAGCTAACAACCGGTTATTTTTACTCTTCAGCGTGAATTCTCACTCGTAAAGGTGAGAGTCGGAAGGGGTCAAAAGGTGGGAGTTTTGTCACTTGGTCATGCTGACCTTTCGTTCTGTCTGAGTTGTACCGACGTTCACTCCTCGTATTATTAGCATCTTTTCCCCTGGATGCTGCATCTGGACCCCTCTCCCTGAAAAAAAAAAAAAAAAAAAAAAAAAAAAAAAAAAAAAAAAAAAAAAAACCAGATAATGCTTGTAAAGAGTTCTCTACAGACGATATCGTTTCGCCAAGCAGCCCGTTGGGCTCGTATACCTGGCGGATATTGCAGGGCTGCTTCGAGGAATCTGAATGGCGTCAGCGAATCCCCTTGTCCTGACTTCTGGGACAAGCAGACCCAAAGAAGAGCAAGACAAGGAAATATTAAGGGTGAAGCATTGTGTAACAAGCCAAGTGATTATCTCCGTAGATGACGGCTAGACCGACGGAGCTGCTGACTGGCAAAGCAAACAGTCAAGCTAACCATCCGTCTATGAGTTGAAGTCTTGATATTACCGTGTGGATTGTGTTCGCTGTTTGGGAGAGTGTCTGCCATCGATCTCCGTGGTTGATGGTAAGGACGAATTCATTTCGACATTCCATCTCCAGACTGTCTACACGAGGTAGATGGGAAGACGCCTGCCTACCTCCATTGGCTGGCCTTCCACTCAAACCCCCGTTTCCCCTGTGCAAGCCCCTGCTGGACCCTCTTGTCTCCCCGGCAGCGCCCTGAGCACCCACTCCAGTTTTGACCCACCCACCGCCTGAAGGAGGTGGATTGAGTGGAGTACGCAGCAATGACGGGGTCGTATCTCTTTTTGATGAGGGATCGATGGGGCACTACCTTACCTCTAACGGGCAGCCCAGAAACGGAATGACAGGCGCAGGCCATACCTACCTGACCTCTACCTTGCACCACCCATATGCTGTGCTGGGAGTGCTGACATGTTGTTAGGTGGAGGAGGTGCGACCGCCAAACTGAAGGTACCTACTACCTACCTCTACACCTACAGGCCCGGGGCAGTGAGGACGAAGTGAGGGAGGGATGGAACTGGAAGCACAGTCCACCTACTGAACCGCACCTGGGGGGTGTGCCAGACGAGGGACTTCCACAAGAGGTTCCAGTCCAGGGGCCCGCCGTGCGCGATCGTCCAGTCTCCGTCTCCCACTTTCCATTCTTCAAGGTCGACATAGCTCCAGGCCATCAAGACCTTGGAGCGCACACTTGGCTTGGCGAGTCGAGCCGTGCTACGTACAGTATTGTTGCTTCTGCTTCCCGTTGCTCTGCCTCTTTTTCTCCTGGCCGATGAGCATCGCAACATCACGATATTTACGTCCGCTTTGCCCAACCCCTGCTTACCTCGTTGCCTCCCAGGGCTCCGTAGAGGCGGGACGGTTTTCCCTTCCGTCGCCTTCCACCAATCTGGCTATCTAAGTATCTCCCGTTACTTGCGGTATCAGCGACGCCCACCGCGACCGCTTCCCGACCCCGACATTGACCTCAACCTCAACCTCACCACAAGAGTCCGAGTCAAGGCCACTTACGTATATTGTCGCAGCTCACGCCAGCTACCGCGCCGAAGACGAACGACAACCCACGAACGCAATTGCTAGACGCACTCCATAGCCCCCGTTCCATCGCACATCCCCCCTATCCCCGCCTGGTGCTGGACTCCCCCCGAGTAAAATAGGTGATCAGATATACGCAGAAGCTATTTGGTTCACCTACCTTCATAGACGCATTATCGAGACGCGAACGATCGATAATCACTATTGCGCCGGGCCCGACAGGACGGGCGATTCATTGCCGCTACTGCGTGCCCCCCCCCCTTTTTTTTTCACCGGTACAGACCACAATCGGCTTCACCCTGAAGGACAGCGTGCGATCGGAATACCCTCCATGTGCTATTTTTGACAAACACCCATTTCCCTCAACGTTCGCCCCTAAGCAGTTTGATCCTTGCGATTTTCCCACACCCGACGAAACTGGTGGTGAACTTGGAATTTCGGCGCAGTTTTAAGGGTGAACACCGCAACCATGGATGACTATCTTGACGCCCCCATGGATGCGGACGATGTGTTCCCATGCAAAGGATGCGGTGAAGTAAGCCCCCCCATCCAGCCAAGTTACTCCTTGATCAATGCTGACCGTCCCGTGCTAGATTCTGGAAGAAGGCAAAGCATTCGAACTTGGTATGTTGTTAATACATAGATACCTATAGCTTGCTTCCCTTTCGCTTGCTGGGGGTATCAATCCTTCGCAACTGGCGGCATCCACAATAGCATGAGCGTTTCGGAGCGAGTGAAGTGGGTGTTAATGATCAACGTTATTAACTGACAATATCACAGCTGGAAACCGATGGCATCTCGATTGCTTCCGTTGTAACACATGCAACACGCTCCTTGACTCGGATGCGAACCTCCTTCTGCTTGGAGACGGGTCGCTGATTTGCAACAACTGCACATACAGCTGTAGTGCTTGCGGTAATAAGATTGAGGACTTGGCTATCCTGACCGGAGACCAGGCCTTTTGCGCAACATGCTTCCGCTGTAGGAATTGCAAGAGAAAGATCGAAAACCTGCGCTACGCCAGGACGGCTCATGGGATATTTTGCATGAATTGCCACGAAAGTCTAATGGCACGAAGACGCAAGAAAGCAAAAGCAGCGGCTCAAGCAAAAGCTCGAGACACCGACAAATCCCTTCCTGCGCTACCGCCAAACGCTGTACCCCCTTCCAGCACAGGTTTCGCAGCCGAAAAGCTTGCGGCGGACTCTGATACCCCTACCGAACTATCACCACGACCGCGAAATGCTTATGGACGGCAGGACTCATCGTCGCGGAGCAGTTCGAGACCTGACCGCTCCCCCGAAAGATTGGCGGAAACGAACAAGGAAACGGTGCTGGCCCCGCCAGCGCCAAACTATAGACACAACCGCAATTCAACCATGTTTTCTGCTGATCTCAGCGGGGGGGATGCTGAGGACTTCTTCATTCCTGTCGCGCTTGACCAGAGTCCCGCGCCGTCCATCACGCCTCAGTCTACGGCAGACACAATTTCAGACACGAGCCGCAAAAACAAAGATTATTTTGGCTCGGCCAGGTCAAATGCTGTCCACGCAGACAAGAAGGAATCGACGGCGCCGACACCCCACATTGCATTGATGGCGCAGATGGCCCAAGAGAGGCAACCGTCGTCTGACTATGAAAGTCCCCAACAGGATCGGCTCCCACCCCGCAAGCTCTCTCGAGCGGCCGATGTGATTGGTAACACAAAACCGGCCCATATCGCTAGCATTTTGGCCGAAGCCTACAATCAGCAGCCCAACAACGAGGACTTCAAGCTGCAGAATGTACCCAAAAGTAAGAGGCTTGTGGGTAACCGGAGCGAATCTCAAGCAAGCAACAGCATCGAGAATGGAACTACGCCACGGAATAAGGAGAGTCCTGAGCCCCCTTTAACTATGAGTCCAGACAGGATCATGACCCCTAGGTCCTCTCAGGATTCTCGTCCTAGGGATCCCATGAGTGATGAGATACGGCCGTCCAGCGACTCTGTAACCTCGCGCTCAGAAGTCTCGAACGCTGGGCGATCCATTCCACGGAAAGAGGTCCCGCCTCCTGTATCCAGAAACTGTACGTCCCCGTTCCAATCCTGTGTGATTGTATCAGCTCTGTTTACTGACGTATTGCAAGTAGCCGATGGCAAACCTCTGCCGGTTCCTGGGTCGAACAATTCCGAGGGTCCTGCTCTCCCGATCCGTCCCCCGCCGCCTGAGGCGAAGCTTAGTAACACGTATATGCAACCTCGCGCACCGCCTTTGCCTCCCACTCAGGCCCAGACACCCAAAAACCAGTCGACAACAAGTGGTGAAGTCCAGGAGCTGAAACCATCACCCAAGCTACCTAGGTGGAGCTCTGGGGTCGAGTTCAGCATGGATGAGGATATGGCCAGGATATTAGGAACAGATGAGGGCTCATCGTCAATCCTCCGCCGGGTCTCAAATGCAGTACGACATGGACGGAACAGCAGTGGTGAAACAGGCGCTACTCCTGGCAGAATTTCTCACAGTAGGAGCGTGAGCGAGACCACTCGAGGAACTACTTCGCCCCGTTGGCCGAGAACTCCGATTGTTGAGGACTACTCCACCGGTAATATCAACGATATAACGAGTCCGTTGTCTTTGGCTAGTACAACACAGGATGATCCAGCCTATCTGAAGCGGCAACTTAGAAGTTCCGAGCAGCGGGTGGCAGAGCTGGAGCGACAGTTCAACACGGAAAAGGATCTTAAGAGTCTTAACAAGAAGTTGATCGAGAAGAGGAAGACGGTTTCGGTGCTTGATACTCAGACTGAGATCATGATCAGGCAACTTGAGGTACTGGCCGGGTATGTTGAGCGTGCAAAGAAGACTAACGAGTCGTTTGACGCTCGCGAGTTGGAGGAGTCCGCAATCAAGGAGTTTGTCCAAAAGCTAGAACGTCTCAAGCACAACATGACCTCTGCGATCGAGCAACTCATCGCGGAGAGAGACGATTTGGTTGAGGAGAAAAACCAAGCCATTGCCGACCGCGATCGCGCTCTGCTCGAGTTTGAGCAGCTGTCTTCCAAGAACGCTCAGTTGGCCGATATGAACAATGATCTCACTCACCAGATTCAGGAGAGATTTAAGCAGCAGATCAATAACGGCGAGCTCAAGTCACCCAATGGTTTGGGTATTTACGGCCACACCAAGGGTGCTTCACTCAACATGGACGCCGCGAGCTTACAAACAGCTACGACTATGGTTGGTCCTGATATGGAAGATCAGCTTGTGGAAGGCCCTACCGTGGTGAACATCCGCAAGGGCCAGGTCAAGAAGTTCAACTGGAAGAAGGGCTCCAGCAAGGTGGCGCACAATATCTCGAAGGGTATCCGTGGTGCGGCAGGCGCATTCCAAGGACAGGAAGGAACCCAGAGGCAGCAGCAGCAGCAGCAGCAGCAGCAACAGGGCTCCTTGAACGGAGATAACATTGGTCTTCCTTATGCCATGACAGTTGCCCAGGTTGAGGCTCCGGTCACTGTCGTTCCCCCACCAGCCAACACCATCAAACCTGTGATGGTTGATAACGCGCGGCAAGGTGGAGGAGGTGGTGGTGGAGGGTTTGGTTTCTTCGGTGGCAAAAAGCCGAACGCGCAGCAAAAGTCGATGTCGGTGACCAATATCTCTACCCCTGCGGTTGCAGAAGCCCCCACTACTCTCTTCGGTTCCGACCTGATTGAGCGGACTGAGCATGAACGCCGTCAGATACCAAGCGTGGTCACGCGCTGTATCGAGGAGGTTGAGCTTCGTGGTATGGATGTCGAGGGAATCTACAGGAAAACCGGAGGTAACTCTCAAATCAAGATGATTCAAGAGGGCTTCGAGAAGCAGCAAGATTTCGACATTTCCGACCCGGAGATCGATATTACTGCTGTGACGAGTGTCCTTAAACAGTATTTCCGCAAGCTCCCCAACCCCTTGCTGACGTTCGAGGTGTATGAAAGAGTCTTGGAGTCCAATAGTAAGTCCATCCTCAATTGACGGGTGTAGACGGATGCTCACCAGCTTTTTCCACAGATATTCAAGACGTAGAGGAGAAATGCGCTCACCTGAAAAAAACGGTCAACATGCTTCCACCAAAGCACCGCGACTGTCTCGAGTTCCTCATGTTCCATCTTGCTCGAGTAGCGAGCAGAGAACGCGAGAATTTGGTAAGTCTGCAGTTCCAATGGTCTCTTTTCCCTGTACTCGGGACATCCGGCTGACTGGCTCTCATCAGATGTCACCCAAAAACTTGGCTGTGGTGTTTGCGCCCACCATCATGAGAGATCACAGTCTCGAGAAAGAAATGACAGACATGCACGCCAAGAACAATGCCGTGCAGTTCCTGATCGAGAACAGTGCGCTCATCTTTGAGGAATAAGGAGTTGGCGAGCGCGTGAGCGCGGTGCGGGCGAACTGAAGATGGACGGGAGAGTATCCTTAACCACCGAATGACCTACACGTGGTTTGTATATACTGATGAAATATTTTGGTTTTTTTCCCGCAAGCTTGGCCGAAGCGACTAGCCGATGCGCTTGTCGAAGCATGGAAGATGCACAAGGACTCAATTGGGCGTTGTTTTTCTCTTCTCGTGGAAGGCTCGTAGGGCCTCTCCGCACCATATCTTGCCCAGTTCACATTTTGGGGCTTTCTTGCTCTTTGGTGATCTGAATATTTTGGCCAGAAAATGAAAAATGGTGTTATGACTTGGTTGAAGAAGGACAAGGGTGGTCTGCAGTGATTTTGCGTGTGCCCTATGTGGGCTGGGAGAGGTTCGGTCTAATTAGTCTACAGTTGGATTGGATTAAGTCTAATATGAGTTGATGAGGAAAATGGCATAAACCATTGCTCTCTGGGTCAAATGGGACAAATTTTCCCGTGATTTTGGGGGGGCAGTTCGCGACTGTCCGTAAAACCAGCTGTGTGATTACCCTCTTATATTCGAGTATGGTTATCGATTGGTCCCTTCATATGCATTCCGTAATTATGATTTCCTTTGAGCACACAAATATGATCTGGAAAGTCGGGTGCGGACGTCGCGGCTCGGTCAGATATGTATTGTCAATCTCATGTCAGTGGTCAACTGTCCTCATGGCCGCATCAAGGAAAGGTAACTTGTACATTCTACAAGCAGCTGCTTGAATGTTTTGACTGTCCTTTCTCTTCGTGACATGATAAAAGCATTTCCTTGTCTTGCTCCCTTTCTCCAGCCGGGTATCATGTCTTTCACAGACGCAACAACTTTGTCAGGCATTCCCACCCAACTTCCACCCTAACATAACCTGAGTGCAGAAATGTACACCCAACAAACCAACAGGTCCAGCCCTGGCTCGCCCCGTCCAACTCGCTTTCGAGCACATAGCCAGCCACCCTCCCTCTTCCCCGGGTGCCACTGACCGTGTTCATTGTCCAACAATCCTCTTGACCTTATCCAACAACAAATTTCCCTGCCTTCCAAGCTTCATCTTCCCATCCCTCGCTCCCGGCTGCCTCGCCTTGGCCATCTGCTTGCGATACTTTTCTCTTTCAGCGATACGCTGGCGCTTCTCCTCCTCGCGCCGCGCAATCTCGGCCGCCCGCGCTTCCGCCTGCTTCTTCTTCTTCTCGGCGAGCGCTAGCTCCTTTTCGTAGTAGTTCGGTTTGCGGTGGCGTTTGGGAAGGCGCGAGGGGTGCATGTTTGGGTCCATGGGTGGGGGAATGTAGACACCGTCATCGTCTTCCTGGGTGGTAGTTGTGGTTATTGTTGTCGTTGTTGTCCGTTGGACCTCTTTTTGTTCTTCTCCTCCGTTTGCATTCTCTTCATTCTCGTTGTGCGATTCTTCACTAGGTTTCTGTTGTTCGGCTCTAGCTGCTTTGGCAGTGGCGCCTTTGTCGAGGAGGATTTGCCGCGAAGGGTGGATTGGCGCGGGGGCATCTACATCTCTCTCTACTTCGTTGTCGTTTTTGTAGTTGCTGTTGTCATCCTCCTCGGTGACGTGGGCATTTAGAACGGGACCGACGGGGACACTAGAGGCAGCTGGGGCTTCGGCTTCTTTCTGGGCTTTAATTTTGGCGTATTGCTTCTTGACTTTGGCCTTGGTGATGAGCTCCCTCTTGATCTTGGTGACTGGTTGATGAGAATTTTCATGTCAGCATGTATATGGGCGAAGCAAGATTCTCTTGGAATTCGCAAAGTGGTGATTACCTTTGCGCTTCCACGCTCCATCTGGGAGGTTCTCTGGGCCAACACGGAAGCCATGCTTGGCCTTTTTCTTATCCGGACCGCCGGTTGTCGGGCCCTCGTCAAGGGCTCTTTTGAGTGCCATGCTGTTGATTGTGAAGGTTTGATTGTTGGTGATTGGAGAATGTAAGAGCGGACGTTATCTAGTCTGGGATAATTGACGGGCAATGAGATGGTAATTAGATGATGCTGATTTCGGGTGTTACGTTTGGAGGAATGCTTAGTTGTTTTTTTTTTTTTTTTTTTTTTTTTTTTTTTTTTTTTTTTTTTTCCCCTCCTGGGTAGTTTTACCACTACACTACAAGATACAAATATACTGATAAGCTGCCCCTGGCAGGTCGTTATCGTTACAGGCGGGAGACACTAGACGTAGGTGGCAGAAGAACTGACAAGAGCTAGGCGGTCAGCTGGCTGTGGGGCTAATGGCAGGGGTTACTGGACTACCTACCTACCTAACCTCCAGATGACGCCGAATTTGGCCAGTTCATGCCCGTTGCATCATCGAGGTCAGAACTAGTGTACCTAAAGTCCAGGAACACCTCGATCGGATGCGTCGGTACCGCACAGCGGTTAATCACCAGAACCTTGGACGGCGGACCTAAAAATTAGAACGGGTTTGAATCCTCAGGGGCAATGCAAGATAGATGGGAGTGAACAAATTAATCACCATGGGTGTCAATGCCTAACTGACAAGTACGTGATCACATCAAAATCATCCCATTTTTACTGCGCAAGCCGCCGTGTACCTTTACGGGTAAGTAGAGGTATGTACTACCAGATGAGGGGTACCGCATCCACTCCGCTTGTTTGGAAACCACATCGGGCTTCGAGTGGAAAGTTCCCAACTGCAAGCCAAAGCCCATCTCTTGAATCCCTCGCGCAATCCACCTTTTGTTGCTTCTTCGATGAGTTTTAGCAGAGGCATCCAACATGCCCGACCCGGTTCATATGGATAGCTGACCTACAAACCCGTCTCGACCTCAACCGCAAAGAGTCCGGCGCAGATCTCCAGCTCCACTCCAGCTCCCGCCTGCATTACTGCCATCGCTGCACTGCCATCTCATAAAACTGTCACTGGTCCCTTCCGTCCCGTCTATACCGCATGCATATCGAACTCTACGTACACTACCACTCAGCCAACACCTCGTCACCGGTTGCAACAGACTGGGGCCATGCCGTGACTCGCAGCATCACTCCCGTTGCTCTTTCCAAGTCCATTAAATTCAAAGCTCTTCGAGTCTCAGAAGAGACGTTTGACCAATTCCCACAATCCGCCAAATACATACATAGGCCTGGCGCAAGTCTGTGTTATCGACGTCTACATGCCATGACCTGGAGGTTTTTTTTTGTCTGATCTACCTTTCTTTTTGAATTACAAACATATTGTCCGATTAAATCGATTTGCTCGATTGTACCAAATAGCACCCTCACAGCTCTAGCAAAGTGCTGTGATGCTTGACTCGAGTTCCGGACCCATCCAGCTTCGACGACCTTCCGACTATGATGATATTTGCGCTCTTCTTCTCCGCCACCGCGATTTAATCAACACACGGTCCAGGTCTTGTGCATGTCCGGACTGATCCTGCTATCTCCCCTATAGGTCTTGGATGAACGAACTTCCTCCACTCCCCCGAATTTTCCGGCCCAGCAAACTCCCAACACAGCTCATTGTTCATGGTTGGAATTATGGAAATTGTTTCGATATAGACTGCCTAAGATCCGAGCTGCTTCAACTCTTTGATCGGCGCGGAATTCAGTTCTTCAAAGAGCACAGACGCCCTTCACCGCATTTTGGCTTTTCTTTGAATCGCATAGTGTCACTTCATGATGCCCTTTTCCCACAACCTGTTAAATCAGGGCCGTCTGGTTCACGTCTCTCATACGGAGATGCCGGAGCCCACTGATCGTATACAGTCCGATCCTATGACGGCCTCCCCAAAGTCATTGCCTTGCCGTGTCTCTGAGGAGAGCATCAGGACTGAATTTTGCGAGGGACCAGTCGACAGCCCGTATAGCCCAGCCACTCCTGAGAGGAAGCTCCCCAGTGCCTTGACCTACGATCGAGCTGAGCTCATGCATCTCTTAAAGAGGACAGAAAGTCCAAATTGGGTGCCCGGTCGCCATGTACGTTTCTATATCTGGGTTTGGCTATTATACCCTCTTGCCCTACCGACATGCTGACATGCTTGCAGCTTGAGTCACGGCTCTATGAAGACGAAGTACAGCCATCCCAACAGACACCTCAGACGTTAATTTTAAACGGGTCATGCTTGCTTTCCTCACCTGCAATTGCTCAAGAGAAGCAAGATGGTGAATGGAGCCAATTTGACGTAAACACTGCTGGACAGCTCGAATCGGGGCTTGACATCGAACGCCCACGCTCTGCCCTTCACAGCGGAGATTTTACGCCAGACAATCAAACTTCCGATGGACACGACAGACAAGACGCTTCTCAACCACGGAAATCCCAAGACTTTGGGAACTTCAAAGACTCATGGGCCTCCAGAGAGCCTACGCCGTGGCCCTTTCCACAGAAGGCAATGGATTATAGAAAGGAGGCCTTTGGTTCACCCTCTTCCTCGGTTTCTTCATCTCTCTCCACAAGTTTTGCTTATAAACTCCCCACCAGTCCTCTAGTACATACAGAAAGCCGCGAGGATATTGAATCAGAGACATCTTCGGACGGGATCATAGCCGGATCCCCCAGTTTGCGAAGGCATACAATGAACTGGGCTCCAGGTTGTCCTCTGAGCCACGGAGGAATGTTGAGGCATACACCGCCACACAGGGAGCGTACACTTCCGTGCCAAGCACATCAACCTCGCCGTTCATTAGCGTCGCTCTCCGGCCTTTCGATACCAAGCTCTTCCCCTCAAACGCCTTCCATGTGTCGGTCAAGGCGTCTATCTCACAGCTCTGAAGGTTCTCCCTTACAGCATGCATCTATGGTTGGATCTTATGAAGAAAGTATTCTCAGGGGACGAATGTCAACAACGCCTTCCAAACCCTTGGAGTTCGTGGCGCAAATCGGTGTCCTAGGTATCGGGAAATGCAAACTGAATTTGCGTTGCCCATCCCACGTCACTCTGCCATTTTCAGCTGTCTTCTATCGTTATTCCAGTACTGTTCATGGCAGGAGTAGAGGGGATGATGGACCGAGTCCCTACGTGGGCCAAATCGACTTAGAGAACGGATTGCCGAATCCAGAGGAATCGCAACGGTCCAAACGAAAACAAGAATCAAGGCATGCCGGACAAAAATCACCTGATGGCGACCACATTGTTCATGATATTGGGGACGAAGCTTCAGGGGGCGATGGTCAGAGATTCGAAAAGAACAAGAAAACGTCACGATCTCACAAATCGCCTCCTGGAGGCTCATACCGCATTCCAGAGAAGGGACAACTCCAAATTGTCATCAAAAACCAGAACAAAACAGCTGTCAAACTCTTTCTGGTTCCATATGATTTGACAGGCATGGAAGCGGGCACAAAGACGTTCATCCGCCAGCGGAGTTACTCTGCAGGACCCATCATTGACGGCCTTAAGAGTACAGTGCCGGACGGCCCTCCTATTCTTCGATATTTGATCCATCTTCATATTTGCAGCCCGTCAAAAGGTCGTTTTTATTTGTACAAGGACATCAGGGTCGTATTTGCCAATCGGGTTCCAGATGGCACCGAGAAGCTTCGTAATGAAGTCACGTACCCAGAGCCGCGGTACATGCCATACAGAGCATTGCGAACAAGCAACTTGTCGTCTACTCCAACAAATAACTCTGTTGCTCCAAAACCGTCACAGCATGCTCCGGGTTTGGCTGCCGACAGACATGATGAGAACCAATCCGACATCCGTCAACCAAGTCAAGACGCAGAATATCTCAAAAATTGTCTCCATTTCCCCCGACCCACAGCCATGGCAGCCGGTAGTGATGCCATGACCAGACTAGCGCTGACGGGACCTCCAGCTCTGTTGGGTAGATACGACAAGCTCAACAGGGGAGACGTTGGATATGGCGGTAATCCTTTCGGCCATGTTACAAACTGGCGCCCTGGGTCAGCAGAGAGTCTTCTTTCAAAGCGGCTTCGGTCATTGGGTGTACAGAGTCTCGTGACGGATGATGGTGTAGAAGATGTGGTCAATGGACCGATCAGCACATCAAGGGAATGACTGGAGAACAGAAGCCTAAATGGTCTCTAGAATTCCCGGTTTTGGAAAACCCATCGTATCGGAATAGGAAGGCCGTAGGGCACTCCGGCTGCATGTAGTGTACTGTTGGATGAGCTCGGATGAACTGGGTTTCACGAGATGCCGCTGTACCCGAGTGCACTTAATGTCATGTGAATGTAAACTACAATACGGTAAATGTACATGAATGCAGGTACCCCTGACCAATGACGAGACCATGTGGGGTGAATTGAACCCTGGTGGCTCTTCAAGCTGCGACCCCGATCACTCTGGTGGAGTAGTGAAACCATGAACGCTCCACTTTAGTCGCGATTGGCAGGCGGTAAATCACCGCAGAACATGCAAACGGTAGGAAATTCCCAGAAAGTTGACGAGGAAAGCTTCAAATCCAACCAGTCGATCACGAAACCGAAACATACCCAACTTCCGACTTCGAAAGGAGTCCGTGATTCTTCAGAATGGGGAAACGACAGTTCAGAGGTGCAGAAAATGGGGATGGGCCGCGCAAAAGGCAACGCGTCGTCCACGAGGCTCCGACGTCCGAGGTGATACACACCAGTCGCCAATTGAGGCAACTCCTCGCATTTGATCCAGATCTTGGGCGTTCGAGACATGGTGAGGATACTCATGATCACCCAGTCCCATGATTACTCGCAAGCGTTAACTCTATGCAGGGCTCCAATCGTTCAAGCTCCTTCTCGATTCTTTACTATCCCGCGATGACGATACCGACAGTGCTGAGAAACGCCAACAGCATGAACTACGCTTCACGATCGTCAAGGAATATTTACAGTCCACGAAACCGACTGAGGACGACGAAAGCTCCACATACCTCCCCGATATCATGCAAACATGGAGTCACGCCGGCCAAGTCAACAACGAGAACCTCCTTTCTGCTGTACCGGTCGTCCTCGCGCTGCTTCTAAAACTGCTGTCTCAAAGCCTTGAGCTTACGCCAATCGGATTGGGCATTTGCAGAACCTTGTTGCAAAAACGTCAGCAAGAATTGATATCCCGCAGCTTGTCGGCCGACAAAGGAAAAGCTTTCATTATCTCGCCCACCCTGCGTATGCTCAGGGAGGCGGTATGCTTCGATGGGGGTGCTATTGCTCGGCCAATGTTCCGCGCTAGAATGTCGATGCTCAAGTCATTGGCACGAAACATGGGGATTGTTCACATCGGCGAGGAACCTGAGGACATCAAGAAGCCTTCTCCACGCACAAATGCTGTCCAATTCTTCCTGAGCGCCCTCAAATACTTGCATCCCGAAGCCAAAAAGGAGCTGCTTGCGCAAAGGGACGTCGTTACTGCCCTCACAAGAGATGTCAAGCAAGATCTGCCTTACCTGGTGCTAGATCTTCTCAACGGGTTAAGAGATTACGTCCTACTTGACAGCAAGGTTCCTCGGGAGGCCAAATCCAATCTGCTCAGTTCCACGACATTGATCAAGATATCGGGTCTATACTACTACCGTCAAGCTAACGACGATCTCCCGTCTATACCAGACGCTGCCCATGACTTCCTCATGACCGCGTGCGCCAACCCATCATGTGGTGTTCTCAGACAGGATACCGGACTGTATCCCAGAGAAGCGGATCCGAACGCGGCTATCCCCAGCGCGGATCTTGAAGAGCTCGGGCTGGAAGCTATTGTGTGGATGAACAAGTTCAAAACAGAGGTTCCCGTCCGCAACTTTGTTCTATCAAACTTGCTCCAAAATCTTCGCCCATGGTCAAGCGTGAAACAGAGTGAGCTGATCACTTCGATCTTCAAGGTCGCGCCCGAGCTGATTGCCGACTTCTTCATCAAGAACAAATCATTTACCTTCGAACCCAAGCTGTCTGCGACATGGATTGGATATGCAGCATTTTTGTTCAATACGGTAGCGTTGCCGTTGCCTGAGTACTTTTGCCGTGGGTCTGGCTATGCCGAACTACCTCCCCCGACATCCATCGTCATGGACAACATCCTTCCTCTTCCCCTGAACCAGAAAGCACTCAGCCGCTGCTTAACAAACAAGTCCAGGATGATCTCCTTCTTTGCGACCCGAATACTCATTCTGGCGGTGCAGAAGCTCGATACAGCTGTTAAAATGCACCAAGACCCAGCTCACAGCTCAAAGTTTCACAATAACCAAGCGCTCTGGACAGAAGCAGCCCGCCGGTTAGTTGACGAATTCTGCCAAAGGAGTCCAGGTATCAAGGAGATGATCAACTCGTACAGATCTATCCCAGAAGACGATATCTTGCACCGTGAGGCTGCCAGTCAGCTATTGCGCTTGTACTACGAGGTGATCCCGCAGGTTGCACTTATGGCCAAGTTCGACGTCGCCCCATTACTAGAGACAGCGCTCAAGAGATTGTCCAAGCAGAAACAACAGAAGGAGACTCGCTCAGAAGAGGTCGGTGAGGATGATCCTCGTGACTTTGCGCTAAGCCTCAAAGAACTGGAGAATCTCCTGGCGATTGCAGGATACTCGCCAGGTATGAGGTGGTTTGCGGCGACAGAGCAGCTTAGTTTCTCACCGTTTTTAACCCTGCTGAAGGTTTATGTCGAGGCACCCCATGGCGTTTCGTTGGCACCGGTGCGGCAAGTTCTCGATTTCGTAGCGGTGGAGCAGCAGGTCGTTCCGGCAAAGGATAAGGGGCATCCAGGAATCTCTGTTCTTCTCGAGACTCTCAAGGAGCTCATGGCGTCGTCTCCTTCATCACTTGCTGTCTTGTGGCCTTTCTTGGATAAGTGCCTCACTCGCTGTACAACCGCACCGGTCAAGTATCTCGAATTGCTGCAAGATCTAAGACCCAAGGATGCAGAGAACGAGGTACATACTGTCAACCCGTTAGTTGCTGCTATTATCGAACAACTGCCTTTTGCTGCCAAGGCAGCGGACTCCAAGAGTACACTTGATGGGCTCGGCCGTTTCTTGCCAAAGTTCCTCGGGTATTTGGCAGCTGCTGGAGAGAGCAAGCCTTTGCTTGAGGCTGCGCTGGCAGTCATGTCTGACTCTTTTGCCAAGGGTCTAGGGAAATCATTGACTGTGCCCAAAAAACACCCATTCAAGCAAGCAGGAGTTGGGAAGTCAATCCAAGCCAAGCAAGACAAGAACAATACAACAGCGGAAGGGGACAAATCGGAGTCTGGTGACGACGCCGCCGCCTTGGACAGCGAGCAGTTGGAGCGTGTTCTCGATGTTCCAGACAGTCTGGCCACCGATAACTCAGCACTTGTCAAATGGCAATCCAAGTCAGTGGACGAGCTTGTGGACGAAGGGTACGCCATTTCCCTCATCAGCCTGCTTGCCTCTGAGCACGCCAGTATTAGGAAGGAAGCACTCGTCAACGTCCTCAAAATGGCATCCAAGGTCCAGCAATCCGAGTACGAGGAAAAGGAGCAGATCTGGTTGTTATTGTCAGAGCTCGCCGAAACCGCCAGGGTGGCAGCCGCAAGTCAGGCCATCAATGCAGTGGCGCCGCTCCCGAGCACCATCGTTGCTTTCGCTTGCCATGCCGTCAACGTCTTGCGTGACCCGACACACAGCCTCTATCCCAAGATCAACTCCTTCCTCACAAGGGGGCCCTTCTGGAGCGTGGACAGAGTGCCGCTGGCGGATGAAGTCCTGACCGAGGAACCCGCGGTTGGCGATTCGTACTATTCGCAGCTCAACTGGCTACTTGCATATCTGCTGGACGGCCTTAGAACATCCAAGGACTTGGAATTGTTCCACAAGAAGAGGGCAAAGGGCCCGCTGTTTGAGCGGTTGTTGGCGGTAGCAGGAAACCCATACATGAGGACGCCGCTGCGAATGCAGGTCCTAAGGATACTGTACCGAGCATCCAAGATCGAAGGAGGCAGCACAACGCTTGTCACAAGGTTCGGCGTAGTTAGTTGGCTAGAGGAGCTGCTGAAGATGAAAAAGAGCATGTCCGCAACGCCGAGTCAAGGTGGAGCAGGCACTGTTGTCAGCTCCGAGGACGAGGTTGCGGCGTATAAGGGTCTGTTGAAGCGGATTTGGGAAACTTGTGATAAGGGAAGGGTTGAGGGGTGGAGTAAAGGAGGTGTCGAGAGCGTGATTGTCTAGAGCACTCGGAAAGAGTGATCAATCACAGTTGATTGTGCACTCTGGAGTTTGAACAAATTTCAGGAGATCTCGGGTTATTGACGTGAACATTTGATTTTTGCTTTCAGATCTTACTGCGAATGCGTAGTGTAGATGTAGATAACCTTGAACGTATACGATGCGGAGTCGTACGTAACAATGCTGTAAAAGGAGAAGTAAAGGGGCTAATGATCACGATGGGATCCCAGTCTAGGAAGAGCAGGACTCTAAATGACGACAGCTGGCAGCAGCGACATCGGCGTCCACTTTGTACCATTCTAGCGATGCAAAGGCTGGACTACAAGGCCGGTGATAGACAAGGTTGTTAGTGTATGCTAAGGAGTGGTGAACACACACATCTTGCATGGGGAACGGCGCTGGGCCGCGAAGCTCACAAAAGAGTCTACAAGCATGATTTGACCCGAGTCGGAACTTCCTTGGACGGCGATTGTATATGGAAGACCGCAATAGCAACGTGACAGGCTCACAACGAGGTTTTGGATGGTGAAGTGGCATCACTAAAAGCGGTCGGTCCTAGATCCATCTCCAAGTGGAGGATGTTGTGCGGCGGCGATGGGAGGTTACCCCCGTCCTGATGAGTTGAACCTTTAGCAGCTAAAGAAGGAGGGGACCTACCTCTAGTCCAACCTGGGCGGGCTATGGCGGGCAGCCGAGCGGCCAGTGGACAGGCCCAGCCAGCTGCTAAGTTGCCTGTTCCAGTTTCGCCAGGAAACACCACCGTCCTCCACCTCCACCTCCGTGCTTCCTTCGCACCTCCCAGTCGGTCTCCCGTCCAGCCCGTCCTTTGCCCTGAACCCCCATCTGGTTCTGTGCTGTCCCCATTCCAGTTTTACCACACTTCGTTGTGACTTGCCTCTCCATTGTCATTCACGC